CTTTGTAGCAGTTTATAATCACATTCTGCTCTTGAGCTTTTTATTCTCTACGCATTTTTATTTATCTGCGATGATTCCGCAGAGGAGCAGGTGAGTAGGGGACTGAGGGGGTCCTCTGAAGAAAGGGGGTCACAGCTGGATTTGGGTCTGAATCTCCCACAAAGACCTTTCCATGACACGCACGAAACTCGGTGCAGCGGGGAAGGGGGGAGTGGGGGGGCGGTGTGGCGCCGGCGCTCTCTCTGCTGCCATCCTGTGGCCAGAGCTCGGTACTGCAGCCCGGGCTCCGCGCATGAGCCGTGCTGCTGCTGCTTTTGTCCCCGCTGCTGTCCCCCGAAGTGGGCGGTGTCACGTGGTGGCTGCTGGGGGTCTGGAGTCAATACATGAGGGTCTGTGGGGGGAATAGGGTACATATAGCGGTCTGGAGTCACTACATGGGGTGCTGTGTGGTTTGGAGACCCTTTATGGGGGTCTGTGGGGTGATACGGTGTGTCTGGGGGGGGGATTAAGGGGGACATGGGTGTCTGGAGTCCCTACATGAGGGCCTATAGTTGTCTAGAGACCCTTCCTGGGCGAATATGGGAGGATATGGGGGGATTTGGGGGTCTGGAGTCCCTTTATGGGGGTCTGTGGGGGAATATGAGAGGATATGGGGGTCTGGAGTCCATTACAAAGGGTTCTAGGGGGGAACATGGGAGGATATGGGGGACAGGAGTGCCTACATGGCATTCTCTGGGGGGAGATGGATATCTGGAGTCCCTAGATGGGATTCTGTGAGGTCAGTGGTGGGGATATGGGGGGATTTGGGGGTCTGCAGACCCACAGTGGGGTCTGTCGGGGTCTATGCGGGGATTAGGGGAGATACAGGGGTCTATGGTGATTCGGAGAAAACTCCAGGAACAAACTCGCCAACAAAAGTTTCACGTTTCAAGCAGGTATTCTTTATTGCGGCGCCAGCAGACACAGGGGACAGCTCCTCCTAACCTGTGTCTCCAAATTGCTGAACAAGCCGTCCTTATATAGTCACTAAGCATACCTATTCATTACGTACAGACATGCATATTCCTGAGGATACTTACATCATTCTTCTAGAAAGTTTCCCCACAGGCATACAAAAACATGGTGAAAGGCTCTAGGGTCCTTTACTTCTTCCGACAATCTGCAGCACTTCTGGCAGCCCTGGAAGTACACGCAGTAGACATTTATACCAGCTTAATTGGTTCCCTAACACCACAGACACAGCAATCATCCTGTCCTTCTGCTCACCAGTTTAACTGCAGCCCATCCTGGACACCTGCCATTCCCAGATACTTCTTATCCTTACCTCCTTATTTTCTATCCTCTTTTTCTTACACTCATTTTGTACTAAGGTCATAAGGGCCTAAAACTACGTCAACTACAATGGTTTATCTTATACAAGGACTCTCAGGATGTTCTCTAGCTGTACTCTATACTTTTCCTCCGTGAATCGTGCACCTCAGTCATTTTCCATTGCTACTCTTACAAAGGCTTCAAACTTAACATTACTTAAAACTGATTCAAAAGGTTTATATATTTCATTTGGTGATTTTGTGCATTCTTTTCTTACTATGGAGTTTCTATAGGGTCTCTATGGGTCCCAGCACCCCCCAATGTATCTCTATGTGTCTCTATGTCCATACCCCCCTTCCCAGTATGTCCCTATGGAGTTTCTATATGCTCTCCATGGGTCCCAGCACCCCCCAATGTCTCTATGTCCATAACCCCCTCCCCAGTGCTTCCCTATGGAGTTTCTATGTGCTCTCCATGGGTCGCAGCCCCCCCACAATGTCTCTCTATGGGTCCCTATGTGTCTCTCTTTCCCCCCCCCCCCCAGTGTTCGTACGTCGAAAGCCAGGGGGCTGGTGCCGTGCAGGAGGTGGACGCCGGGCCCGGGCAGCAGCGGCGGCAGCTCCCGGAGGAGGGGGGCGGCGATGCCGGGGGAGGTGCCCGGCCGGGTCCCGAGGCGCTGCGAGCCCCGGGAGGAGGGATGGGTAGGGAGCGGAGCCGCCGCCCGCACCACCCTCGCCAACGCCATCTTGGGATGAAAAATGGCGGCGTCGGAGACAGGGTGCGGCCGTTACCACGGCAACGCGGCCGCCATGATGGGTGAGGGCATGAGTCAGCAGGAGGGAGGGGCTGGGCTCAATATGGAGGAATGGCGGGTACACAATGGCGCCTCACCAATATGGCCGCCCCCAGACTCACATTACCCTCGATTAAACCCCTTTACGCCCCCCTACTGCCCCCCATTACCCTCTATTAAAACCACAGAATCACAGGTTAGGGGTGGAAAGGACCTTAAGATCATCCAGTTCCAACCCCCTGCCATGGGCAGGGACAGAATTTTTCCCGCACGGCTCTGCTCGGTTCGGCAAAGCTCGGCTCCGCGCGGGGGAGAACCGAGGAACCGGGGCACCGAGGGGGCCTGGGGCAGCCCGGCAGTGGGAAGAGGGGAGTCGCGGCGGGGCAGGGCTGCTGTCCCGGCATGCAGCGGGGACAGTGTCCCCCTTGCCATCCCTCCCGCCGGAGGCACTCGTGTTCCCCGCGGCCGCTCAGCGTCCCGGTCTCCAACGGCGAGAGGAGCCCATGCCCTGGCTGCTGTGTACCAGCACCCAGCAGAGCCGGGCGCTCCTCTTAGCGAGTCCCGTAACCATCGCAGCAGCATTCCTGGGAGAGGATTTTGTATTTAATGGAATTCAGGTTTGGATGATGGGGGGCTCTTTAATTTTGGAACTGCTGAACAAGGGAATTCTGTTCTGGCAAATCTGAGTTTCAGAGAACACTCTCCTGCTATCTGGGAAAACTCGGTTTAGCCCAGCCAAGTACAGCACCGTTTAGCACAGTTCAGACCAGTCTGGCCTACCCCAAACCAGTTTAGCCCAGTTAAAACAAGTTTAGCCCAGTTCAGGGCACTCCAGCCCAGTATGGCCCAGTTCAGACTGGCTTACCTAAGTTCAGACCAGTTTAGCCCAGTGCAGTCCAGTTAAGCCAGGTTTCGCACAGTTCCATCTGATTTAGCCCAGTTCAGACCAATATAGCCCAACACAGCACAGTTTGGACCAGTTTAGCCCAGTGTACACCAGTCCAGCCCAGTTTCTCTCACTTCAGACATTTCACCCCACTTCAGCCCAGCCCACTTTAGCCCTGGCCAGCCCATTCAGCCCACTTTAGCACAGTGCATTCCAGTTTAGACCAGCCCAGTCCACTTTAGCCCAATTCAGCCCAGTTTAGCCCTGCCCAGACCAATTTAGCCCAGCCCATTTCACCCTAGTTCAGCTCAATTCAGACCTGCCCAGACCAGTTTAGCAGTTCAGCAGGGTTTAGCCCAATTCAGACCACTCCAGCACACCTTAGCTCTCTTGAGCCCACTTTAGCCCACTTCAGCCCAGCCAAGCAGTTTAGACCACTTCAGCCAAGTTTAGCCCCATTCACATCTGTCTAGGCCACTTTAGCACTGTTAAGCCAAATTTAGCCCAGTTTAGCCCAGCACAGTTTAGCCCAACGCAGCCCAGTCCAGTACACTTCAGCCCACTTTACCCCTTCCCAGCCCAATGTAGCACACTTTAGGCCAGCTCAGTCCAGCCCTGTTTAGCCCACTCCAGCTTATACCACCCCAATTTAACCCAGTTCAACCCAGTTTACAGACCAGCCCACTCCAGCTCAGCCCAGACAAGTTGAGCCCCATTAGGCCCAGTTTAGCACAATTCAGGCTGGTTTAGCTCAGCCCAGCCCAGCCAAGACCTGATCAGCCACTTCAAGCCCAGTTTAGCCCAGTTCAGCCCAGCCCAGCAATATTTACTCCAATTCAGCCCAGGCCAGCCCCATTTAGACCAGCTCAGATCTGTCCAACCCAGTGAGGCCCACTTCAACCACTCCAGCCCAGTTTAGCCCAAGTTGGCCCACTTCAGGAGAGTTTAGACCACTTTGGCACCACTTCATCCCAGTCCAGCCCAGTTTAGCCTTGCCCAGCCCAGTTTAGCCCAGTAGAGCCCAGCCCAGCCTCATTTACCCCAGTTAAGCCTATTTTGGCTCAGTTTAGACCAGTCCAGCCCACTTCAGCTCAGTCCCGTGCAATTAAACCCAGCCAAGAACAGTTTACCCCAGTCCAGCACATTTTAGACCACTTCAGACTTCTCCAGACCAGTTTAGCCCAGTACAGCCCAACTAAGCCCAGCCAAGAACATCTGAACCCAGGTTAGCCCACTCCAGCCCAGCCCAGCTCACTTTAGCACAGATTAGCCCAGCTCAGTCCAGTCCAGCCCAGCTCTGTCCAGCCCAGTTTAGACCACTAAATGACAGTCCATTTAGCCCAGTCCAGACAAGTTTAGCTCTGAGAGGAGCCGATGCCTCCCATTACCCCCCTACTACCTCCCATTGTTTCCCATTACCCCCTATTAACCCCCATTGCCCCCCTATTGCCTCCCATTACCCCCTGTTAACCCCATTCCCCCACCGTTGGCCCCCATTACCCTTTATTAACTCCCTATTACCCCGCCATCGCCTCCCATTACCTCCCGGTCCTCTCCTGAGGACCCCCTCACTGCCCCCACAGTGGCCTCACAGGGCAGAGGCCGCTGTGGGGCAGAGGTTCCAAGCGCTCTCAATGGCACTGGCGGGGAAAGTGGTGGCGGTGGCAGAGGCTACCGACGGGTGAGTGCCCCATAGAGCCCAGTAGGGACCCATAGGGACCCATTTTTCCGATTTCTAACCCATTTTCCCCTGTTTCTAGCTCTTTAAAGGCATTTTTGGCTGTTTCTCACCCATTTTTCCCATGGGTGATGGGTGGCCGGGTAGCAGTCAGTGCCGCTGCCGGCTCCGCCGCGAACGGCTTCTTCGTATTGGAGCCGAGCGTCCCACAGAGCCGCCTGAGCGCGACAAGGGAGGAGCCGAGAAGCGAGACCAGCCTGCGGTGCATCCCTGAGCCGAGCGAGGCATCCCACCCGCCCGCCCGGCCCCCCGGCCAGCGAGTCCGCCCCCGTTGCTAAGGAAGTGAGGTCACGCAATATGGCGGTCTGGAGCCGCGGCGAGTGAGCCGTTAATGCTGTGTGGAATCCGCGGGCATCCATCCCGGGAGCTGCGGCGGCGGCGCTGCGTTTCTCGCTAGCATCAAGCGGAAAACCCAAAGCCACGATGGCATCAGGAACCGCAGGGCTGTGAGGCAGCAGAGCGCGAGCCGGCAGGCCGGGCAGGGCAACAGAACCAGGTCGCGGACGAACCAGGTTGCCGCCATGGAGCTGAGGGTTGGGAACCGGTACCGGCTGGGCCGGAAGATCGGGAGTGGCTCCTTTGGGGACATCTACTTGGGTAAGGAGGGTGGCTTGCTGGGGATATATCTGGCAGGTTTGTGGAGAACGTCAGGGGTAGGGCTGGGATGGGTGCTGCTCGCTGCTGTACCTGCTCCCAGCCCCGGCGAGGCTGGGCTGGGGGCAACCTCCGGGCCCTCACTTCACTCCGGCTGGAGCTCGGGCCGCACTACTGACCAAAAAATGCCCTTTGATATGAAGTACCTTTCTGTTTGTACAACAGTAACAGTTTAATGTTTCGTTGACATCACGTCCTAGTTTGGATAGTGTGGAAATCGGGAATTCTATCTTATTTAGCCACCACTTCCCATTGTTGTCTTGTGACCTTGGGTGTTGTTAATCTTCTCATCTGTAAAATCGGGATAAGGGTATAAATCCCTTTATTTGGAAAACAAGCGAGCAAGCAAACCAAACAACCCAACACAAAGCAAACCCCTCAAAACCCCAAACCCACCATGTTCAGAAAAATAGTTTGGGAAAGAAACATGCATTGGTGTTAACCATCACTGCAGTGGTCTAGGAAGAATTGCTGCCACAGCAATGTTCTTTTCTCCTGTGAGACCTAACAAACAAAAGACAAAAACAACAAAAAACATTACACAACTGCAGATGACGAGGTTGCAATTAAAGAAACCTTCAGTCAAATCTTCAAATCCTTCCAAGAATCATCAGGTTGGCTATCCTGTTGCTTTAATGTTGCCCTAATGCCTTATTGCAAGTACCTTGTTCTGGTACTGTGATTTCTATGCAATTGTAAAATTTGCAGGGTTGGCATTGTCTTTGCCTGACCATTTGTGTGGCTCTCTATCGTAATGGCTCACTGCTTGTGATTATGACAAGCAGTGGTGGGTACAAGTTTTGAAAGAAAGTATTCATAAAATAATATATTCTTCAAACTCTTAAACCACAAGAAATGGGTTAATTCCGGAGACATTCATTTTAATTCCTGTACATAGAAACCAGTACTATGCTTTTGAAAACTGTGTCAACTTTAAAAAGCAAGTCAAAAAGGGAGGGAAGCAACTTGCAGGGGCTAAGGTATGTTAACTGCACACATCTGGAGGGTAAAAACACGTCTTTAGCTAACATGTGGTATGTTTGACAGTGTAAGAGGTGTTTCTGTTTCCTAGACAGCAGTGCTTCACGTTGCAGTGCGCAGCTCACATTCCAAACTAATCTGTCAGGTAAAAGTGCTTGTCTGCAGATAATGAAATACTGGTTATCTGTAATACGGATCATATACCTGCTAAAAAATCCATGTTTTTAGCTGAAGGTGTGGTGGTGTATAGAGGCAGAGAACATGAATCTTTCTGCAATGCTTGCATAAAAGATTGAAGACTTCTGTGAGAAATATAGTGGTAACACTTGTGCAAAAATCCTCATTAGCTGTCATTGGGATTTTGAGTGGAGATTAAGACAGCAATTAGAATTTGAAAAATCTTAAAATGATTTGAGAACCTTCCTTTAGTAGTTGACTACTGCTCAGGTAAGTCAGATTACATTATAGTATAAATTTAAAATGCAAGTAAAAAAATATATTTTGGGGGTTACTTCATGCTTACAGCCCACACCAGTAAAGTTGCACAGGAAATAATAATTCTCTGTACATTAGTAATATTGCCATGCTGCATTTTGCAGTTTTTGACATCTTTTTATCTCGGAGTAGCTGGTGTGGATTTACATTTAGGGCTTGCTGCAGATGTCATTCCCGAGTCAGAAGCTAGGAGAGTTACATGCTTTGAAGATCCAGCAATTGGTGTGGGTTTCTTTTTCCAGGGGAAATGACCATGCCTCAAGAACTGAAGTCTTTTGAAGAGGCCATTTGGTTTGCTTACTATTATCTTGTAAAACAGAGGTGTTTGAAATCTGTATTTTTTGTGATAATGAAATGTTGGGATTTATTAAGATTTTCTGTTTGGTTGTTCAGATTATGGTAAGACATAAGTGCTTTAAAATAACTTATAAAAATTCTTTTAGATGTCATGAGGTTTTATTAAGTACATGTCTTCTCATAGGCCTTGCTATTTTTACAGATTACTTCAGCGTAGATCTCTAGCTTCAGATCTCTGAAAAGAAAGAATTGATTATTTTTGCCTGGTTTTGGTCCTGTACATTTGGGTTTTTAATGCAGCTACAAGGATGTAGAAGACATTCCAGAGTAGAGGGGACAGACTTTTCCCTTTTCCCTTTTTTACCTCTTTATCCCTATGGAGCCGATGACTCCGTTGTTGTTATCATGGTTTTTTCATATTCTTTTATATTCTCCCTCAAACCTCAAAATATGTCTTCTGGAATTCTGAATGGCCCCAGCTTTGCTTGCTTAGAATGGCAGGGTCTATGGGACAGGAGTTTGAAATGTAAGGCACTATTGTAAATAAAGGAGCACGGACAACTTAAAATAAAATTTAGGAATTTAGTGTACCTGCATCTTTTGAAGTTACCCTGCAGAGGAAGATACGAAAGAAATGGATTCCCAGATATTCTACATAGTATGATGAAAAATGGGCGATGGGATCAGAGTAAGCATTTGTTGATAAGTCTGTGAGGTCAAATAGATATGGGTTGCTAAGGACATTGCAGTCACTGTGTTTTCATGCATTTTGCATTGTGTATATATTTTTCTTAAGAATTAGTTTTGGGTTGTAAACGCGTTAAAATAATTTCCAAGGCTTTCCTTATGGTAGAGGATTTCACACTTCCAAGTAAATTGGAATTTTGCTGTTTAAAAGAAAATACTTTCACAACTCTATACTTCTTTTTACATTTACAGATGGTGAGCTCTAATTACACTCCTTGTTACTACTTTTTAATTGTGGTCTTTCTTGCAGTAATGCTTCCTGCTGCTTCACCGATACTACTGTGTTTTCCTTAAAGGAAGCTAAGCTTTTGGTGCTGCGGAGTTACTTTAGAAATTTTGTCCCAGGGTTTAAGTGGGGACAGAAGTCCTTACTTGGTGGCAAGGAATGCATTGCTTGGAAAAATTATTTGCATTTTTGTCTCTCATCAGTTTTGCTGGACTCAAATATTTTAATTTCACTATTTTAATATGAAGTCTCTCGAAAGAGAGGATTTATACAGAAGCAGAGTTCAGGGTAAGGGTTCTTGGCTAATGAGTGATAAAGACTTGGGAAGAGGAACTATCCTATGAAATTACCTACTAGGTCAAGACCATAGTTTGTCATGTAGTGGTTTAATACTATATTGAGCAGAATGGATACCAATACAGGTGTACCAATACAGACTTGATACAGGTCTTGATCCTCCCATGCAGTTTTTGCCCTAATCAAACACAGAAGTCTGCAGCTGTCTATAAAGAAATATGTCTTTTAGTATACTTGGGCACCAATTTGTGTTGGTTTTGGATCAGACAAGTTTTTGAAAAACAAAAGAACAAACCAAACCCCCCAAAAGACCATGTTTTCTGCTGCTCACCTATCAGATAATATTGTCTTTGGTCCGTGCTTTCCCTGATCTTGTCTACTGTGGGATTTGGCAGAACAGGTACTGAATGTTGGGATAAGCAAGAGAGGTCCAGAGTTCTGGGGTTCAAAATGAAGATTTTTGGGGTGGCAAAGTCAGTATTAGATCAGAAGATAAACACCTTCCCCCTCATATTGTTGATCTGCCCTTTCACATTTCTGGATTGATGTGCACCATAGCTCATTTAAAGTTCACCAAAATAATATATTTATAAAATATGAAAACCTTAAATTACAGATTGAAGAGTTTCCAGTTAGCTGCTACTGTGCTATCTATAACCAAAGTAGCAGTGGGGGATCCTGCCAGTTATTATGCCAGTTACAAAAGAGTCATACAAGACAGATATATATATATATATGTACAGCCTTATTTTTCTTTTTGTCTTCCATATGTGTTCACCTTGAGTTGTGTTTATTGTACCTAGAGTGAGTTTCATTTGCTTTGTTTTCTTAAGGTGCCTCGGGAAATGTCTAACAAATATTGACCTTGGTGTTGTCAGAACAGCGCAACTGTACCAGCAACACCACCTTAATACTCGCATTTGTGCACACATACAGAAAGATATTTTATTTACCTAAAAAAAGTGAAGTCTTGTGTGAACTCATTAGATAATTTATGCACCATCAGTTTCTTGCAAAGTGAAGTCACACCGATTTTGAGGTGTGGCCTATTAGCCAGCCTTTTTTAGCCTTTCTTAGTCTGACAAAGGCTATAAAGCACTGAAGTAGCTCCTTAATCTGGGGAACAGTATTTTGTAGTTATAATAGGTGTCCTTGTTTCAGCTGGTGAATATGTTAGCTCAGTACTGTGTAATGGTCAAAGAAAAGCATATGCAGAAAAAAACAGGTAAACAGGCAGAAAAAAATGTGTACCTCTGTCTTAATTGCATTTGGTGACTCAAAGGACATTATGGAACTGGAAAAGGTATGGATAAGTGAAATGGTGAACAGTTAGGGGTAATTAAAAATTACTTATATATGAAGAATGACCAGAGTTTTTGAACTCTGAAAAGAGTTAGGGGAAAGTGAGGTAGGGTAGAAGTCTCTGAAACCCTGAACATAATGGAGAAAGTGAGTACAAAATGATTATTTGCTGTTTCTTCCCAAACAAAAACTAGCAGACCTCAAGTTAAGCTTTTAAGGAGTGTGGATCAGAACAAAGAGCAGGTTTGTTGTACTTCACATCATCCTAAATTATGAGGTAATGCAGAAAAGGGAAAGTCAAATTCTGAAAGTAGAGAGACTTGGTAATATGTCTGAAAAGTGTCTCGCATCTCCTTTTACAAATTCGTGTTTTCCTGTAGTTCCTAAGTTGCTTGGCTGTGAGAGTACATATTTTCTTGACTCAGTGTTTCTCCTTAAGAATGACAGTTTTTCCCTGAATACACTTAAACTTTGAAAGTGAACAGGTAAGCCAATTTTTCAGTAACTTGATTCCTTAAGAGTTTAATGAGATGTAAGAAAGTGGGGTTTTTTGAGAGGACACATTATTGATTCTAGATAACCTGCCTCCAAGGATAAAATCATAAGGTGACGGAATACATCTGGAATATGTTGAGATTTAGGGAAGTTGCAGTCTCTGTTTCCAAGATGTCAGAGGAGGTGATCTGAATTCCTAGCATTCCTTAGGTTGGCAGGGTTACATGCAACACCTGTAAACATTAATTCTGAGCACTTACACCACAAACTAGAAGTGGAAAGACACCCCTCAAAAGATGCACTCATTTGTTGGTTTGGTTTTGTTTTTGTTTTTTTTTTTATTTCTAAAAATTATTATTATTATACATTTTATATATTTTTATAATAATTTTTATTTTTTTTTTGGTGGGGTTTTGTTTGGTATTGCTTGTTTGGGGTTGTTTTTTGTTTGGTTTTTTTTTTAGGGGGTGGGTTTTTTCTTGGGTTGTTTTTTTTTTTTGATGGAATAGAAGCAGTTTTGGCTTCCTGTGCTAGTGGCTAATTGTCTTTTCAGATGCTAATCTGTTGGAGAGAATCTGTAAAACTTCAGAATCACTTTTAGATCATGATGATTGAAAGTACTTAATCTCTGGATGTTTGCCGTTGAGTGGCAGTTTCCTAGTATTTGTTTTGTTTCAGTCTTGACAAAGGAAATGAATCTTAAAAGTATTTTGACTAATGTTTTAAATTCTTCTGGTTTTAGGAACTGATATTGCTGCTGGAGAGGAGGTTGCCATTAAGTTGGAATGTGTGAAAACTAAACATCCTCAGCTTCACATCGAGAGTAAAATCTACAAAATGATGCAGGGTGGAGGCAAGCAAGTTATTTTCCTTCTTCAGAGCTTTAACTGATTTTATAGCTTTGATTTATCTGCCACCTGGAAGTATTTAATAATTAAGATCTCTTTTAACGCATAAGGAGAAGGTAGGATAGGTCGCAAGGTGGGTGAAGCAGCACCTCAGCTATTTTGCAAGCAATGTAGGGTAGCAGTTCCAAATCCATGGCTGTCAAATTTTATGATAACTATTAAAATCCTTCACTGTTGCTCATGGTCCCCGAATATTTTAAAACGTGAAAACCTCAAGCAATGTGGAACAAAGTTTGGTCCTGTTTGGCAGTACACTAGTTTATTTTTGTTTCTCATGGGTTAGTAAAAGATAGTAACCACTGTTCTGGAGTGTTTAACCTGACTTGCTTATTATAGCAGCTCAATGATAAACTTACCAAGTTCAGATTAATTTTTGTTATATATGTTAGCATTCTTTCTTCTGAGTTAAAAATAACTTCCTGCTACAGGAATTGTAAGACAAAATAGCATTAGGAGAGAATAAGAGTGAAGCAACTTCATAACTACTGCATGATACTCCACTAGGATAACTCACTGGTATATTTTGAAGTTCTGCAAATGTATATCCCATGTAGTTCTGCAATATAAACTTGGTGTAGTTAAGTTTTGCTTTTATTTCGTAGTTGCTTGAATTCTTCCTAAATGAGGCCATATTTTGCATAAAGACTATATTCCACAATGTATTTCTCAAATGCAAAGTACAGTAATCATACATGTAGAAATGGATAATGTGTATTTGCATTTAGTTACTTTTTAATTCCTGTTTCATGCAGTTGTCACTGCATTACGGCTTGTAATCCGAATAGCCTTCACAGAGTAAAATGCTTCTTTTATGGGCTTACTAAAGCCATGATGGTGAGTTCTTTCTGAGGATGGATGCTGTGGAGACAGGTAGCAGAAGGTTAAGTTTCCATCTGAATAAGGATTTCTCTGTGAAGGGAATTTGGGAAAGAATAATTCATATCAAGTAAACAGAGTTTCACATGAGTGAATTGTACCATTTCACTTCCAAAATACATAAAATTAACTCAAAGTGAGTGGATTTCGAGTTCTGAATAAGGCTGCCTACATGCAGGTTTAATTTGGGATATTTGGCCAATTCTTCAGTTTTGCAATTAGCAGTAACGTTAGCCCATAAATGCAATTATCCCATAAAGCAGGGCTAATTTTACCTCTCTCAAGCTGAATGTATAACACATCTCAAAAACAATGCTGCTTTGGTAGAGATTCACCAAACAGCACATGCATTGGAACTGGAGGAAAGTCAGAGAGTATGGAGCAAAAGTGAGAATTCATTGCAAATTGAAATGGAAGGGAAAGGTATTTTATGGTGATCTTGTGAGCTTTGAAACTAAGCAGTTAATTTCTAAGGCCTTCTTCAGTGATAATATTTAGTGTTTTGTCAGTGTGGTTTTTTTCAGATTTCTAATTTGCTTTTTATTGCCATCTTTGAGACTATGTGAGTAGTAATACTTGTAAAATGCTTATGATTCAAATCCAGAGAAAACACTAAGTACTTTCAATTTATAAGCTAAGCCCAAAGACTGAGGGCTTTCCAGGGAAGGGGAAAAAGGCTAAATTTAGACCTCTGTTGCTACAATTTTTATTGGTTTTGCTGTGAAATTAGTAAACCATTCATTTTGTAATGGCTGAAAGTAGCATAAAATGTTAAGCCTCCCTGTAAATACAAACATTCACAGCAGTGACCCTCCTAGAATTCATCTTAAGAGCCTTGAAGATGTGTGCATGGATTGTATGAATCAAATTGTTATACAGTTTCCTTTTTTCTAGTGGGCATTCCCACAATTAAGTGGTGTGGAGCTGAAGGGGACTACAATGTAATGGTGATGGAGCTGTTGGGACCGAGTCTTGAAGATCTCTTCAATTTTTGTTCAAGAAAATTTAGTCTCAAGACAGTTCTACTACTTGCTGACCAAATGGTAGGAAGCTGCTTTGTTGATCTTCGTCGTACGGTGTGGTGGGATATTAGAGTTTCTTCAGATCACAACCAGCTATGTTTTATTTCTGTAATTTAGAGGCAAATAGGCTCTATCATTAGAGAAGAGACTCAAAATTAGTTTTGTTTCTGTAAATATAAAATGCCCCATCAAATGTAATTACAAGTCTTAATTGATTTTTAAAAAATGACCTGCACTGTTTGCAAACCAGGTGTTTTCATTGCTCAAACACAAATTCCCAAAACAAGTTTCTGGAAACAAAAGTGAAACAGGCACAGTGAGAAAGCTAGAGAGAAGGTTTATCTGTTGTCTTCTAAATTACGTTCTCTTTAATGCTCTTACATTTTACAATAAAAAGTTTATTTACCTCTTATCATTAAGACAGTGTTTCTAGTGTTTTCATGAGAAAAAAAGTATATGCCCAGTATCTTGACAATGATTTCTTTTTTTTTAATCCCCCCTCCCCCCCCCCCTTCCCCCTTTATTTAGATTAGTCGAATTGAATATATTCACTCTAAGAACTTCATCCACCGAGATGTGAAGCCAGATAACTTCTTAATGGGCCTGGGGAAGAAAGGCAATCTTGTCTACATAATAGACTTTGGACTAGCAAAGAAGTATCGAGATGCTAGAACTCACCAACATATTCCATATCGTGAAAATAAAAACTTAACAGGAACTGCTCGTTATGCATCCATCAACACTCATCTTGGAATTGGTGAGCTGGGGAAAGCAATAAATAGAAACTTTAAAAATGTCAATGCACATAATTTTACTTCAAATAAAAAAAAAAAGGTTGCTTAATGGAGGCATAGAAGAAAGTCCCTATTTCTGGCACTAGCAGTGTAGCATGCTTGGCCTTGTATCTCTTGGTTGGGTGGGATTTGGTCAGTTCGTAATCCACAGGAATTCACATATTTTAAATAACTGTGAGGGTTTTTCTTGTACTGATAGGCTTTTTAATACTGATAGACTTCAATACAAGCCTATCTTGTACTGATAGTCTTTTTTTAATAACTCCGAGGGTTTTTCTTGTACTAATAGGCTTTTTCTTGTACTGGATGAGTTGATCATGGGCATAGTTTTTTTCTAAGAGTTTTTATGACAGTCTTGTTTCACAGTCTTGCATTTCCGTAGAAAATGAAACCTAATGAGTCCACTTTTTTATGCTGTTGTAGAGCAATCTCGCAGAGATGACTTGGAGTCCTTGGGCTATGTACTGATGTATTTTAACCTGGGCTCCCTCCCCTGGCAGGGACTGAAAGCAGCAACAAAGAGGCAGAAATACGAACGTATCAGTGAAAAGAAAATGTCTACACCCATTGAGGTTTTGTGTAAAGGATATCCTTGTAAGTTACTCTTTCGTGGCATTAGGCCTACATGTTTATGTTTTGGCAGTATTTCTTCTTTATATTTAATTCTACCTATCTTTTTTTACTTCTCTCTTCTCCTCCCCCCACTTCTTTGTGTTCCCCTCTCTTCAAGATTGGGCACATCTGTGATAAAGACTCTGGTTTTGAGACCTTGATCTTTGTGTTCCTGTACCATTTCTAATTATCCATTGTCTGAATGATTAATAAACAATCACTGTAGTGCCCTCAAGTGGAAGGGTGCTTGATGCATCTGAGTTGTGCTGTATTGTGTACATGTGTCTGGGCTGACTGGGTAGCTCTGATAAATAACTTTATTTCTTCATATGCAAGGGTACTATTTCTTGGATGAATCAGATTGTATAGTCAGATACACCTCTTACCTGTTGCACTTGGGAAGGTTCATCCAGGTTGACCTGTTGATGGTCAGCATCTGACAGAGACATAAGAAACCTTCCTATATCCTAGTATCAGGACTAAAAGCTGTTCTATTTCTCAGATTTGGTAATAATGAGTATGAATTTTGAGTCCTGCAAAATGGCACTTGAATCTGTTTTAAAACTTTGTAACATTAGCTGCCATCAGAAAATATTGTTCATCTTTAATGAGAGTTCCATCTTTCTTCTTTCCACACTCTTGGCTTTGGCAGCTAGGTACAATAACAAGAACTATGAGTTTTATTAGGGTTGTATGAAAACTTACTGTCTTCAGTCTGTTGCAAATGTTGCTTCATACATGTTCCCTTACATTCACCAACTATGTTTTTCCACTGGGGTTAACAAGCAAGACAAGACTCATCAACTTTTCTTGGTTGGTTTATTAGAATTTCTTTCTTAACGTAAATTGTTAATATATTATTTTAGCTGGAAAGACTTGAAATCAAAAACCAGTATTTTGATACTGCTATTATATTCGGTGTATGGAATTGACAATGTTTTTGCTGTGTAACTAATACTTTGTGTGCCATATAAAAACAGGTGTTGCAAATCTAAAATTGTAGCTTGACACATATGGGAAATTTGTATGGGTCCACTAGTTTCTGTGAGGTGGAAGATAAGAATGCGTATGTGATTTAATAACAGAGATGCTCTTCTGTGTCACACAATAAATGGCATTTAAATATATTCAAAGAAAGGCAAAAAAACCTCTTTCCTCAGCTGTACTTTTAAACCTGTGTATGTGTCCCCTTCCCCTTCAGGGTTGGTCCTTCTGCCAACTGTCAGTTAAAGAACTCTGATATTGGGTCTTCTCTGCTGTCCTCTGACATCTTTGCCTGCTCTTTGATAGACAAATAATTTCCTTTACAGGGTTGATTTCATAGACGGGCTATAGTGTTGCCTTCAAGAGATTTCTAGTCTTATGTCATTATTATTTTTCTTATGTTTAGGAGATTCCCTATTTGCTGGGTTTGTGATGGGTTTTGTTTTGTGATTCAGAATTTAAAAAAAAGCAAATGCGGAGCTGAAGGAAAAACACAGACTTTCTTTTATTACAGCTGAATTTGCCACATACTTGAATTTCTGCCGTTCTTTGCGTTTTGATGACAAACCGGACTATTCCTATCTAAGGCAATTATTCAGAAACCTCTTCCACCGACAGGGGTTCTCCTATGACTATGTGTTTGACTGGAACATGCTGAAATTTGTGAGTAGCTAACATAACTTTCTAAATTTTTTTTTTTTTTTTTTGGTAATATATATTTATTTTTTCTACTACACTGTCAGTTTTGAGTGTCTTAACTGATACTGTAAGATTGTCTTGCCTTTTTCCTCCCAGAAGCTCTGTTGCCTAGGAAAAAAGATCAGGAAATGAGGAAAGACAGGAGAAACAAGAACCATGAGATGGGGGTTGAATGACAACTAAGTTGGAGTTACAGGGATTTAAATGTGTAAGGCTTCTGAGATGCTTCCCTGGGGGCAATCACCAGGCTAGGTTGCAGAATTACTGTTTTCTCTCCCCTTGATCTTGAGCATGGGTCATTTGCAACTGCTGAGGAGGTGTCCAGCTGTGATAAGATACTGTAAGTATCTTACTGTAAGTATGTATGTACATTAGCATTTTGAAGGCTATGTCAGCAGATGTGTGAGCAAAATTCAGAATTTATGGCAGGTCTCAAGAAATTTTACCAAAATAATGACCTAACTTAATAAACCTAATGGATTGTGCAGTTCTTTATTTTCAGTGTCTTTGTCTGAATATATAGTTGTAAGTTCAGTACTTCCCCAAGTTGTTCACTAGTGTCAACCCGTAGGGGGCAAGCAGAGCGGCTGAAGATTCTGAACGTGAAAGGCGAGAACGAGAGGAAAGATTGAGACATACACGGAATCCAGCTGTGCGTGGAATACCCTCCACTGCTTCTGGCAGGCTGAGAGGAGCGCAAGATGTAGCTCCTCCTACTCCCCTTACCCCAGCTTCACATGCTGGTAAGTAAGCAAATACCTGGATAGATGCATCTTGTAGACTATTGTAATTTGCAGTTTGTTCCTGGTCATTGGAAATTCAAAATCAGAGTTACAGTACCTGAGTGGTATTTGTGTTTGGTCAAGGTTTGGGGGTTTTGTTTGTTTTTCCTTCAGCTTGCTTTTCAGTAGGTTGAAGATAATTGTATAGGCACTCATTACCTGCCAATTGCTACTTGTATTTCTGTGAATGTAAAACAAAAGCCTTGATTTCTCTTGTTTGATTCTGTGGAAGCTTTGTATGCAAACAGGGAAAGTGTAACTTTTCCAGTGCTCATGTTATCATCCCCTTTTGTGTTGCAAAAATGTAATACAGCTTTTCTCACAGCCAACACCTCTCCTCGGCCAGTATCTGGTATGGAACGAGAAAGGAAAGTGAGTATGAGATTGCATCGAGGTGCCCCAGTCAATATCTCGTCATCTGACTTAACAGGCAGACAAGATACCTCTCGCATGTCAACTTCACAGGTAAAAAAGATTTCTGTATAATGGAAGAATGATGGTAATTTGATAAAATTAACTTGCCAAAAGAATATACCAGCTAATCAGTGTTTTCATACTGATTTTGCAGGTAGGATTTGACTCTTATAAATACTTGACATTTTAACTGAATGTTTGTGGCTGTAGACTACTATGAAGAAAAGAAGATTTTATTTTTTTTTTAACCTTTGCAGGAGTAAGGATAAAATACTCTAATACAGAGTCATTGTTGTATGAGGTGGTGTACAATCCTAGTCATACAGCATTTTTACCTTTAATTAAGGTGTTTAGCTCCTTTGCTCACTGAACTTCTTACTTTGTTTCACCATTGCTAAGTTGAAGGCAGTTGTGAGTCATGTTTCTAAATCAACAGAGCAGAGAATATTGATGCAGAATAGACAAGAAGTAGTTGGTGAAGAGCAGGAAAGTGCAAAAGTGAATAAATGTTGTAGTGCAGTACTGTAATTCAGAGCAAGTAAGAAGCCACATACATGGATGATGAATAGATTGCGGAAGGCTCATTTAAAGATGCAGGAGGATGAATGATAGTAATTCATAGCCATATGCAGCACTAAAATCATCCTCGTTGGTCATGGTGACTTAGCAAAAAGATTTTAGGAGTACTTCTTTTTGAGTTGACATTGACAAAAAATGTTTACATGCATTTTTAACTCTTTATGCTATAGTTATATAAACATTGATAGCTATAGAAAACATTCATTTTTGAGGATATTCACTCAGACTTGTCCTGTGTAGTGTGTGGTCTGGATTTGTACAGCTCACCCTCAGTCTTGCCTACAGAATAGGAAATTGCCTGTACTGGGACATTACTAGAAAAGCATTCTGTTATGAGGACTGGTGCAGTTGCCTAAGAGCTTTTACATCACGCCTCAATGCTCTGCTGGAATTCTGACTGCTAATTTTTGCTGTGGACTTATTTTATTCCTCACTGATGGAGCGTACTTATAAAAATTAACTCAGTTCCTTTTGGCTTCATCACGTGATCGGCAAAATTGATTATTTTGGATAGTATGTATGCTTATAAAATCTTACTGTTAGAGGGAATGCTTTTTTAGAGGAAGGCCAGGTGGGTATCCCTCATGAAGACCAAGGGTGACCTGGATTGGAGAAACAATTGTGCTGTAACAAAAGTGGATTTTTTTTTCAGCTGAATGAGTTGTTTCACCATGTGGCTGCACAAATGTTTGTGCTTGCACAAGGGATTAGCAGTTCAGGAACACAAATAACTGGATGAGAATAGGAGACAGGTGAGGTTTTCTGTGTTGGCTTTAGTGGCAATTTTTGTGAGTTTAAATTGTTCACTGAACTAGAATTCTTGTCACCAAGAATTCTCATGTAGAAATATTTTATGGCTGAATTTTGTAAATAGTATGAAAACAAAAAGGGTAGAACTGCACAGTTACGGATCTTGTCAGTGTGCATATATACTTGATAGAAGGATGTAAAGAAGGTACAGCCAGACTCACCCATATCTGATGAATGGACAATGGGCACAAATTGAAATAGAAGAAATTCCATTTAGGCATAAGAAAAACTTCTTTACTGTGAGACTGGAACAGGTTGCCCTAAGAGGTTGTGGAGTCTCTGTCTTCTGAAATGCTTGGAATCCAATTGGACATTGTCCTGAGTGGCCTGCTCTAATTGATGGTGCTTTGAGTAGTGGAATTGGGCTAGATGATCTCCAGGGGTCCCTTCTGACCTCATGTTCTGTTCTGGTACTGGGTTCCCCCTGAACATTTACTCAAATATAAAGGTGGCTTCCTGGTGAAGTGTGTACGCTCAGAGTTTGACTTGCTCTCAGAGCAAATCTCATATGCTTTTTGTCTCTTGCCAATGAGATAATGGGAGTAACAACAAGTGCAGTTATGTTACTTGACTATGTTAAGAGCGAGTATACCTTTCTTTTTTTTGCTTTATTACTCACACATAGCCCATTGTGCATGTGATGCTTTTCTAAACATTGTAAGGTATGAGTAATCCAGGTGAATTTGCAGATATGTTTTGGTTCTGCCTAACTTATAAAATGGGAATATCCTGGAACTGTAGGATTGTGGGTAGTCTTTGAATATCTTGGATATCAAGATACATATCTTGATAAATATATGAAAATATATATCAAGATATATATCTAGATATCAAAGATGTTCAAAGGCTACTCACAATCCGTATCATATATAGGTTACTGTGGATATAATATATGTATATCATTATGGATATACTCATATCCAAGATGTATATCTTGGTTATCAAGATATTCAAAGACTACTTTTATACTACTTTTTTTGAGTAGTGTAATTTCTATACTACTATATATTGTACTACCATATATACTACTATACTTTCTACAAAGTAGTGGTAATGGTAGCCAGTACAGACGGGCACATTTCCATACCTGCCCTTTTTAACACTGCTCCAAGTATGGGATCACTCGGTTGACTCCTCTACAATGGCAGTAGCAGCCTAGTTGGGATATTCTCTGAGTTTGTTAAAATTAATTATTCCTCATATGTTGTCTTCCTTTAGTTCTTACCGAGGTGGTGATCCACTGCTGGTCTCCACTCACGGTGACTGAGTAACAATGTGCAACTGTAGTATAATTTAAACAGCTTTCCATGGGCTTCTTGGATTTGGAAAGCAAGGGAAATTTACTTAGACTTTACCTTCTAATGCTTACCCTTGAGCTCACTGGAGATAATTCACTTTTCATTTTCTCAGTTCTTGCTTACTCTGTAGTAGGTAAGATGGCTCAAATTACAAGTTTTCGTGGTTTGCACTTATACTATCTTCATAACATTAAAGTATTTCTTCCATGATCTAAATATATCCTTGGATATTAACCAAGTTACCAGTTAAAGCTGTGGGTTTCTGATTATCTTTGTACCTTATTATTAGTCAGGAAAACCTAAAGTATCCAACTTGCATGGCAAGGTTATTAGGAAAAATTTTGATTGGTGAGGTATAAGAATATAGAAAATCATCCATGCCACTTCTTATGAGGGGAGCTGTAAAGAACACCAACTGTCCATGCCCATTCCAAGTGTGTTAGTTTCCTTTGTAATTCTTAAATAAATATGCTACCACTGTTTCTTTTTTTATTTAGTTAGTTTTATTTGAATTCCTTGGCTTGGTAAGGCAACACTGCATCTGTAATGTCCACCTCTCATTATATAGAGGAAGGGCTACTGCTTGTTAAACTCTGGGCAATGGAATGTGCAGAGGTTGCTCAAAATAATGGAAGCTGCTTACCTCTAAGTAGAGTTCTTAAAGATTACTCCACATTCTTATCTTTATTTTTAACAAAATGAGTTCTCATCAGTTCGGACTGAAACTGAAGACTAAGGCAGGGGATGCAGTTAATGTAAAAAAATCTCTCTTATGGAAAATATGTCTTCTCAGAGAAACTTAATGCTCACAGAAAAATGGTGATTGGCAAGGGTAGCGAAGTAGGTGTCATGTATATTCCCTACCTCCAAGGTATTGTCCACATAGTAGCTAAGTCATTCTTATTAGAAGGACTAGCACATTGTAACACTAAGTAACAAATGCTTATTGGAGTAACAGCTAGCATGTCTACAAAATGATTTGTCAATGTGTTACGTGTTTTTAATGGAATTACAGAAATTCTGTCGCACATTATTCAGTATTTTTCTTGATGATGTGGAAGCAGATGCAGTAGCTAAAAGCCTGCAAGTTGTGAGAAGTTTGACAGTGAGAAACGTTAGTGAGAGTTGAGCAGTCAGGGAAAGCCTCTTCAAATAAAATGTATCCTAGTTCGCATTACTCCAAAACCTAATTAGGATGGAGTGGAGCCCCCTGTCTTATACATGAAAACTGTGTCTATGGTAACTGGTGACTGAGGAGGCTTTAGGTGTAATTTTGGAGAGGTTAGTGTGATGTCATGATGACAGGGCATAATTTCATCTTTAAATCTATGTATAATACAGTAATAAACAGAAATGGAGAGGTTATTTTGTCATTAATGAGACAGGTTCTGGGATATTATACTTAGTTCAGTCCTCAGTATCTTAAATTGTTGGAAAACCGTAAGTACCACAGGGAAGAGCCATAAAAATTGAGCTTAGGAAAACAAATTGTGCAAGAACAGAGTTTCAAGTCAGTGTCCTTGGTTTGTCTGAAAGGTAAGAGATAATCTTGAGTTAGTTGGTGTAGTATTTTAGAAAATGATTTTAACATGAGCTGACATTTATGCAGTAAACGTGAAGAACCTATTGCTTAAAATTAAAACCACTCAGATTTAAAGAAAGGTGATCAGAGGTCCAGTTGAAGACAGTTGCCACAGAAACAGCTTCTAAAAGGAGATCATCTTTGCCTTTGCATTAAAACTGTATTCATTTCTAGGTGTCATATTCAGGTCTAAAGCAAGCCCAAATTACAAGTTTCTGTGCAGTGAAGAGTTGTCATCTGTGCTGATCAGAAAATCATACCCGCTGCTAAAAGATCCTTCTGCTTTTAAGCTCTTTGAGTGGATTGTTCACTAATTCTCCTTTACATAGTCAGTCTTTAAGCATTAAGAAATGTGGTAAAGGAGGTTGTGAGTATTCCAGTAAACACTGCTTTGTATCAGTTCTGTTGGTCCATACTGCGTAGACTGCATCTCAAAAGCAGTGATCAAATCTGTGCATAGTTCCTACTGGTAATAGAAGTATTCTGTCCATAGTTAGAAGAAAAGATGGGGATGCTGCACGAAGTATTTGATTAAGTTTCCTTGACAGGAGAAGTTTTTAGAAGACTGTAGCCAGCACTGGCATTGAACAACTTAAGTGTTGTGCTGCTTCCCTGGGGAAGAAGCAGCATGCTTCCAAGGCCTCTGCATCTTCCATCTCCTCACGAGCAAATCTTTCTCCATATATCCATCTTAATAGGCATCTTATTCTACGTTGTTCTTCTGTCAGCTTTCTTTGAGGAATAATAATTTGTTCCTTTTGCTTGTCTCTTAATATGATAGAAATTACTTACAGAAGTCTGAAATCAGAGCTTCTAAAAACATTACATTTGCTACTGCAAGTTTAGGTTGGTTATTTGTTAGACATCTTTATATATTGGGGCAGTGGAACTGTTACAAATTGCTGTCTTTTCCCCTACCTCAGAATAGCATTCCTTTCGAACACCATGGCAAGTAGCTGCTCGTCTCCTTTCGTTGGAAGGCAGCACTGGGTGAGTGCTTCTCATTAGAAACCAAAATTTTGGATGGGTGGGGGAGAAAAAAAAAATGTTGGAAACATCCAACTTTGCCTCTTCTTCTCCTCACATTTCCTCATAGTTGAACGTGTGCCTTCTGGTCAGATGCTTGATGGAGCACTGGTTTTTCTCTAACTTAGAAGTAAACGTCTTTCCAAAAGTTGAATGACTGCTGCTGATCCACTTGGACTTTTTGGCAGAATTGACAAAAATAGTGACTTAAAAAGTCCCTAAAGTTGTTCAAGCAGCAACAATAAGATAACTGGGTCTAAAGTTTTGCTGCTTGAAAATTACATGTCTTTCCAGGAATGTTCATGCAGCGATATGTCATCCATTCAAAATCAGATCTGCTTCCAAACAATAAAACCAAAATACTTACTTGAAGACTTAATTAACTCTATTACTCAAATAAGGCTCTGTCTTGTCATGAATGGAATGTTCTACTGCAGATATATCCACTTTTCACTGTTTTATATTCTCTATTCCTTATGAGCTGTCATTTAAAAAATACTCAGATTTGTATTTTTAAAATGTTCACGTACTAGTAAGAGTGGTTTGAACATGAACATCTCAAAGGTAGACAGACTTGTATTTGGATATTTAAAACTCCTTTCCACTTGTCAGTGCAGTAGAAGTTTCTGCCTTTCTGTGTGCAGCCTTTGGCTTTTTAGTCTGCTCTGCTTTTGGCAATAACAGGTTTCTTCAGGGAAATAGCAAGTTTCAGTTGGAATCTGAACCTTAATGGTTGAAGGATGCTTTCTTAAGTATTTCAGGAGCTATGTTGCTTTGCTTCTCATTAAAAGGCTATGAGATTTTTCTGTTTCTTAATAAATTCTGTTTTATAACTGTCTGCTGTCTCACTTTCTCTGTAAAGCCTAAGCTTGCACTAATCCTGTATCTCTAGCTGGTGAAGAATCCTGCTGTTCATCTTCAGTTTTTTCCTCCTGCTTCGTGTGCTTGGCTGACTGTGGACAAGCTGCTTCATAAACAGATTGTAACATTAAAAAGATCCAACTGTAAATGGCAGCTTCACAATTGAAAGTCAAATTATCAGACCTTAGTAAAAAATTAAAAGGGAAAAAATAAAAAAGGCAAATCTAAAGCTTTGCATTGGAAAGCTTGTGTGTGGGAGATGTGAGGATTCCAGTCTGCTCAGGGTTGTGTCTGCAGTGGTTGGCCTTTACTGTATGTCTTACTGTTTGCAGCTGTTTGTAACTGAAATTAATGCTGAATACTGGTTTGGCTGCCGAGATGGTTTTGGCTTCTTAAATTGAAGCAATGTGTGGTTGGTTTTCACTTTTGCAGTGAAAGTGTCTTTCAAATAATGTTACACTGTTGCTAAAATAGGTCAAGCTATGGAAATTAATGAAGTGTCTTTTAACACAATGTCTCATGAAAAAAGAAAAGCCATTGAAAATCTTTGAAGTTGGGGGTTTTGGGGGTTTTGGGTTTTATGGTGGAGATTTTTTGTGGTTTTTTTTGTTGGTTTTGGTTTTTGTTTTGTTTTACTGGGATTTTTTTCCTCGTAAAACTGAGTTATTCACTGAGTCTGTTTTACACATTGTTAGTGTTTTCATATGGTTTGTTCTTTCTTCTGTGCACGTTTATGCGCTGTTTACTTTTCTTCAAAATGTACCTTCTGTCTGGAAAGATGAATTTTCCATGTTAACTTCTAATAAAGGATGGAGATGCAGGGAACTTCATGTAGCTGTGGTGGGTGTGAAACATTGTGTAGCTCATTGGATTTTAAATTTATGTGCTTTCTTTTGGCAATTAATTATTTAAAAGTACACCGAGAACCACTTAAATGTTAACTGGGAGGATATGTGCTGATGTTGTCTTGTTTTTTGGCTTTGGTAGATTCCTGCTCGGGTAACTACCAGTGTTCTCCAGTCTGCTGTGCACCGATGAAAATTAAGTTTGCCATGGAGGGCAGACAATGCATGGCTGATCTCCTATGTTACCAATGGCTTTACTAGCAAAAATACCCTAAACTAGAGTGGAAACGTTATAATTGGAGTTCTCCATGTGACTTAAAATGCACTTGGAGGAACATAGACAGGCTTCAGCAGCTGCCATTGCAGGACGCTTTTGCCAGAAACCCAGTGACCTTAAGAGAACCCTGTGGTAACAGGGCTGGAAAAGAAAGATGGTTTACAAAGTTGACCGCCTGTTATCGGATGGCCATTTCAGTTTTCCCTCCACAGGCGGCAGACTTCACCCACTTTGTATTATTCTACTGTAACTATAAATCTTTTGCTTGGTTTAAAAGGGTTTTTTGTATAATTTTGCTAAAATTATTGGCTTAATTCTCTGTAAAGAACTTCTTGCTTTTGTCTGATTTAAAGATGTAGAATATAAACAAACCTAAATTAAAGATGATGACTTGAAATTTCTTCTTTAAAAAAAAAAATTAGTCTGGCAGGGAACTTGTAAATTAATCAAAACTATGTGACTTTATTTAAACTGTTTGCTTGTTTCTATGGTCCCATTCTGACTAAGAAGGTTCTCATGAAAACTTAAAAACTGTTAGAATTTTACTTTGTTATTTGCTGTCTTCATTCACACTTAACATTTAACTTTCGTGTTACCCAAAGGGATTTTTAAGTATTCATTCCTTTTCATAAAAGAGAACTAAATACCCTGCGGAAGAGTCTAAATACAGTAGAGATGGAGGTGTTTTTTGTTGTGGTTTTTTTTTATTTTGGGGGGGGGGTGTTTCGTTGGGAGTTTTTTGTTTGTTTGATGGGTTTTTTTACAGTATATGAAGGGCTAAGTGAAAAAATGGCATTTGAGGGATTTAAAATTTGAAAGCTTGTCCAGTGTCTCTGCTTATTTTGGGTAAATGGATAGTTTCAGACTTGGTTTTTACTGGTGAATTTTGCTTCCTGCACTCAGGCTGGTTAGCTTGGAGGGTATTGCAAGTCAAAAATAAATGTTGATACTGAGTCTTCAGTGAATTTGCACTTTTAATTCTTCATCTACATCTTTAAAAATAAATAGTTTCAAGCCTTCTGTTTCATGCCAAGACTCAAAAGATAAATTATTTTTAAAAAGCAAACAAACAAAGCAAACCATTCTTGCTGTGAAATCCTGAGAATTTTTGCAATTCAGATGCATGCCATATTTAATTCTCAACTGTATTCAGCCTGAGTATACCCCGAATCATTAGCTGGGAATGAATGATTCAAGATGCTTAGGTAATCAAAAAAATTGTTGCAGGTGGTGTCGGCACCTGTTGCTTATTGAATGTGGGAGATTATTCATACTGTTCATTGCTGTAAATGGTCTCATAAAATACACCTGAAACAGTCTCATAAAAGTAGGTACTCTGTCCTCAAAGAACTTGAAGCAGTATCAGAAGTACTGTTTATATGACTGTGACTGAAGTAATGAGAAGTTCCAGGTTGGAAATGGAAGTATATATGGAGCTTTTGTTTGAACAGCTGGGGTATTTTGAAGGGGAGGGGGAGGGGGGAACAAACCCCAAAACCAAATAAAACCAAAGCAAATGAAAATATTTTTTGTAAGGCCTGTTGGTCTTCAAATTTTATGATGAGTAGTTTTTATTGTTTTGGTGTTTACAAATTCTTTTCTGCCCCTCTCAAAAGTATATGTTAAGTATTAGTAACATCAGCTACTCACTTGTGTGTATTCTGGGTGTGACTCAGGAAACCTGTCTGGGGAGAGTATAATGGAAAAGCTTAAAAGTTTGATCCATGGGTGTTTGCGTAAGGTATTTCCTCAGTTATTATAAACTTCAATATTCTAGGCATGTGCTTTACCATTTGGACAGTTTTACACTTCACTGTGCTTTCTTTGTAAATATCTGTGGTCTATAATGTACCATTAGAGGGACTTAAAAAGGCAGCCTCTTTATTCTCTCTGTATCTAGAACATTAGATTGCTGTACTATAATTAAAAGTTGACTGCAGACTTCTAGAGCTGTACTCACTTGTGGGCAGTTTTTGTCCTTCGTAATAGTTAAATTTCATCATGCAGAAAATAGTTAGACTGTCTATATAAACCTGTGTATTGGAAACCAGTATCTGGGAATACTTCATTTGTACTACCACTGTATTTGTGTACTTTAACAATTGTGTAAATACATTCGTAACAACTTCTGTTCTTCTTGTGTGTAACTTACTTACAATGAATCCTTACTCTTTACTTGGTGTAACTTCTTTCTTTTTTTTCTTTTTTTTTAAGGGGTTTCTGTAGCTACTGTCGGTTGCAAACTTTTGAAGACATAGTTGTGGTACTAAACCTTTCTCCGAAGGATTTTGGTAGTCGTGGTCAGAAAACAGCAGTTAGGGTATACAGGAAGAAAGAGAAGGCATTCATTGCTTTGCTCACAGAAAGGATGTCTTTTGTCTCTTTAAAGGTAAATGTTTTTGTTTGGATATTGCTTCCTTTCCAGAAGTCTTTTTCACAAACACTTCTCTGTCAAAGTAGTACGCTGTATTGATAGGAAGTATGGTCTCCTGGTTTAAGCCCAGGATATACGGGAGGAGAGTTGCTGTTGAGACTTGATCAATTACAGGAGCTAGGATAAAACCAAGAAAAACAGTGAGCTCTACCCACAGTGCCCTCTATAATAAAAGTCCTAGCTTTTGCCATGTAATTCTCAAAAGTCTATTCATAATCTGAGGGAAAATATACCTTCAGGAATTCTCTGTATTTGATTAGCACGCCTTTAGAAGTTGGAAGGATATTTAATTTATTCTGACAGTTTTCATTTAGAACTGGCTGTGTGCTTTTATGTGGAAAACTCTTCCCGTGCTGCTGTTTTACATAATCTTGATGGTTACAGAGTCCCTGAGCTCTTTGTGATACAAGTACCTTGAAAACAAATGAAAATAAATCCTATGATGAGAGAGATACTAAGTAAAAGCATTTAAGGAGTCCGTATATGCCATGTTAAGTTCATGAAAAGACTCGGAATCTCCCTTGGAGGAAGGCATGTGTAACTCAGAGGCATCTTGTTCTTCTTTCTTCAGTGGGGAAAAATAGCATAGTCACAACTATTTGTTGTCTTCTTTTCCCCATGTTCCAGACTTCTTGAGTGACAGCTCCTCCATAAAATCTGTCAAAGGCAACACTTTAGGAAACTGAATTTCCCAACAGTAATCTTTATGATGTATTTACAGATTTAAGTAGATCATCAGCTAACGCATACATGTTCATTTCAAGAATATCTTTTTCTTTGTAAAAGAATGAAATAGAAGGTAATTATTTTGTTCTTTACCTTTTTCTTTACAAGTGCAGCAGTTCATATGTGTAAAACACTAAGTGAAAACAAACAACACTGCTGTTCAAGGGTTTTCTAATAGTGCTGAGCCATCTGGTCAGACATCTGGATTTAATCCAATTGGGAGGAAATGTAATACACTATGTACTTAAAGTAGCTTCTAAAACTCACTGGGTGAGAAAAGTTAATAATAAAAAAAAGGTCTTGCTGTTAACAGTACACTTCCCTCTGGTTCATTCAGGTGACAATTACTAGCGTTACATGTGTATGTCTACATTTAAGTGATTGTATGAACCTGAATTGTATGGACTATTTGCATTGTTCAGTAGTTTTGTACCAGCAGAGTGCTCAGAAGCCTGATCTTCAGTAAGAATCTGTTTCACAGCAAAATCTTACTAACTTTTATCAGGACATATTTGCACAGGAGTAACACTTTATGACTTTTTCTCAGACGTTAGTGTTGGCTTTTTTTTTTCCTGCTGTATCTTAAAATTGGTTCTTTTGATGAAACCATTGCATACTGCAAGCAGAAAGACAACAGAAAATTAGGTGAGATCTGTATTTACAGAATCTACAAAAATATGCAGTCTACAAAAAATAATTTAAGAGCATTCTTTATTAACTTCTTTTTGGGGAAATTCTTGACTTTAGGTGCATGTGTAAGATCTGTCTGAAAATTATAAGCGTAAAGGACAAAGGAGAGTAGGAAAAGGAAAAAGTATGTATATCATCCTAGCTTACTGTGTCATTGCTGTGACCAGTCCAGGATAATTGAGATGGGGTGAGATATGGAACAAAACAGCAATTCATTTGGTACATTATGCATTAGGAAGAAAATGTCTAGTCCTGATCACAACCAGACAAAACATTTGGTTTAATTACAGTTGTTTCAAAGCTGCAAGCCTTACAGGCACAAAGGCAATGCAGAGCTGCTGGCATTTCCCATTATCCTTAAGGAAAGGATAAACCAGTGATTCACAGTATTTCAAGGCCATGTACAGATTTTTTCTTAAAAGAAAGACCCTAAACAGCAAGTGCTTCTTTGCACTCACTGCTAACAATTTGTATTTTATCTACTGTCAGCCCCCGACTCTTATACAATATTTTCCAGCAAGACTGAAAAGTCTTTTGCTATTAAGAATTTTAAATTCTAAAATCTAGGTCTTCTTCTTCATTGGATTCAGTTTCCCAATGAAAAGCCTTAAATTGCTGAAGCAGTAGTAGATTAAGAGTCAGAGGAGCAAGAGCTACTACCCTCATCTTACTGTTCTGAAGCATTCATCTAGGGATAGTGAGAAAAGTTGGCAGCTGGAATGTTGCAGATGATGGGGCAGGTACTGAGATCAGTCAAGGAACAAACAGCATATAACTAGAGGTAAGTAGCTTTTTACTCTGTCTGCCTTTAACTTTCCGTACTTTCTTGGACAAATGCAGGGCAGCTGATCTCAGAGACTCACTTGCAAGATACTTTCAAGAGCCCTGACTTTTACAGTAAATACTCCCTTTTTCCCGCTGTAACAAAGATGGGCTCTATTGCAGCAGCATTGAGAAGGCTGGTGAAATAATATATTCCAAAGCTGTTACTTCTTATATGCAGTGCCTCTGCTATTGTTAGAATTGTTTGCTTCTCAAATAGTGGTGCGTAACCTTCCTTCAGCAAGTCCAGCAGTAGCGAAGAGCTGTGCAACTGGGTCATGCTCATTTTCCTCCAAACCCAGATGGCCTGACTCCTTTATTTCAGACTCAAACAGTACCAGAGGCAAAGATAAAGTCTTTGGGTTTTCTGTCACAAGGGTGCTAACTGCATGCTAATAAATTCTGTCATTTCAGTCCGCCCTTAACAGTCATTCCTATAGCAGCATATGGCTTGATCTGGCCAGTGGGATAGCAAAGAATCTGATTACACCTTGAGTTTTGCCAGTTTGCATAATAAAATTAATCATGTTTATTCAAATGTTGGATTTTATGTAAATAGATCTATGATCTTTCCCATGTAAATGCACAGAGAAACTTCTGAAACCTTAGAGAGATTTCTTCAGAATTTCTCAGCAGAGCTACTTAGAATTAGGCACAAATAGGTGTGAACCGTCTAGATAGCTTCTAGACAGCAAAATGTAGCTCCTGTTCAATTGAAAAGATTGTAATTTTGATTCACTTGGATGTAGCTCACTCTTAGCTGGGGTACCATAGGACCCAAAATACACCACCATTAATGTATTATTAAAGTGTTTCCTTAGGAGCTTTCAAGTTCTAAAGAGCATCACTTGATGATAAAGACAGCTTGCTGGCAGGTCAATACTCAGAATATTCAGGGATTTATAAGTCATTGCAGTTCATAACACTTTACCTGCAAAACAAAATCTGGAGTGCTTTTCAGAGGACAAGAACAATAATTTCTACATGGAGCACTGCAACATTAATAGTTATTATTTTAAAATTTGATGATCCTTTAAAACAGTCTTCAGGATCATTTACAGGAGGAGCCCATTTCCATTTTGGAATTGGCCAAACTATGAGTCACAGCAAAAGCAGTCCCCTTGCTCACATTAAATTCTGGCTGCCTGTCAGCTCAGTGTCACCACTTTATTTTTTCTCTATGAGCTCTGTTTGAGCATGTGCGGAGGAAGCCAAATTTCCAAATCTGGGTGTTACTTTTTCTAAGCTTATTTTCTCACACCCACAGTTTTTTACAATCAAAAAAATATTTATTCACTGTATTTGCAACAGTTTACTAGAAAAGTATTTTAAAAAAATTAAGTACAAATATACACATTACACTGAAGCGCATTAACAAGAAACAAAAGTTCATCTCACTTGACAAATTTAATTGTACTCTTAATCCTAAAGACAACTGTGGTAGAGAGACAGACACACATGCACAAGTCGGTACTTACTGTTGTAACTTGTAAGAGTTTGCATTCCCCTGAAAGCCTTATGTTTTAATTAGGGACTGTAGTGACAGGACAAGGGGTAGCAGGTGCAGACTTAAACAGGGAAAGTTTAGATTGGATATATGGAAGAAGTCCTTTACTGTAAGGGTGGTGAGGCACTGGAATGGGTTGCCCAAGGAAGTTGTGAATGTTCCATCCCTGGCAGTGTTCAAGGCCAGGTTGGACAGAGCCTTGGGGGGCATGGTTTAGTGTGAGGTATCCTGCCTGTGGCAGTGGGGTTGGAACTAGATGATCTTAACCCTAACTATTCTATGATTCTATGATTGCTGACAGAATCAACACTTTTCTTTGGGACATAATAGAGGTGCATACATGTATATATTTTGGAATTTAATTGTATTGTTAGGGGAATGTTTTCATTTATTTTCAGAGAATGATTTTACATTGTCTAACACACATTTGGATGGGATTTAATATTAGCAAGCACAAGATCTGTCCAGTCCTTCATACCATACCTTCATAGCATCTCAAGTCTCAGCTTGAGGGAACTGGCTGCTTTTGCAGCAGGTAACTGCTGAAGACTTGCTGTAATGTATTAAAGGACTGGAGAAAAACAAAATCTAGAGATTGTGATTTTAAAGGGAGCGCAATCACTTTTAGTTCTGCTGAGATCTTCCAGGTTCCAAATAGGTACAGGATGTTTCATATAGAAATTTTTAAACAGCAAGCTTATTTTTGTATAGGAGGAAGAAGAAATTTTAACTTTGCCTTCCTCATTGTCTAGTAAACAGGCAAACTGTCTCTGTTCTACTCTGCTGGGTATTTTGCATGTTTGATAGATATAGATACATATATATATGTGTGCACGCACATATACACCTCTTTATATGTTCTCTGTGTGTTACAGGCAGTTGTATACATACCTTCTCCTTGTGCTAGGAAACTAAGCGCCTAAGATCTATCACAAGATCAAACAACATTTTTTAACCATAAATCCCATAGTACACAATTTATAGAATGCATGAAAATCTAAAAAGCTTCTAAAATTATGCTTAGCCTTTAGACTAAAAGGCTGCTCATTAGTTTCAGAGAAATAATCTAAAAATTATTTTTCAACTCTTTTATTGTATTATACTTGGAATTTTTGCACTTGTATTTTTCAGTTGCTTCCCTCAAGACTTAGGTTTGTTCCAGTAGTGGTTGTACAATTACCTGCCTTCCCTCTCTTTTTTTTTTTTTTCAAATCACAAAATTTTAACCATAAGGTTAGCAAAACTTCATCCAGGCAGATGTTGCATTAAACCATTCTGCTTGTGTCCCCAGGCAGTTAGTGTCTCTTTAGCAATGTTTTATGACTCAGACCGTGCATGTCAGCAAAATACGTGGAAGAGCACATCTCTCAAACTGCTTTTAAGGGGATGTCAGTGGTATTGAGATTAAAGAAACACTGTACCAAAATACCTGGATGGGTTTAAAAGCAATTACCTGTGAATTTACAATAAGCACAATTAAATTCTTAAGGAGCCAGGCTAGTCTTGCCAAAAGGAAGGGTTGCAGCACAATCCTCTTCTCTATGTAACAGGTCCTAAATGGTGTTCCAAGACAGCACTGGGAACCTGAAGACTCACTGCTTGCCTTTTTTTGGTATGAAGGAGTGAGGTTTGTGATACAGGAACTCAATGTGGCCATGTCCATAGGAACAGTAGGGTACATGCCTCAGCACAGCTGGGCATGCTGGCCCACGGTTATCCAGGCTAGTGATCTGGCATGGAGTTTACCTTTCCATCAGTATCATCAAAATCCTCCCAAGAAAATAAAGGCAGCTGAACAGAAAGAGAGCTAGCACGCACCTGGATGGAACACATGAATGGGAGCAGGGAGCTTAACTGGCTTCAGAACTCAGAAGTACTAAGAGATCTGCATTAGGAGTTTCTTATCTTTCTGTTGATGCTTCTTGTAAATACTGAAAACAGTAAAAGATTTTGTAGCCTCTGTGAAACTGCCTAGCAAATTAAACTCACCCTTATTTCTCACAGTCGATGAAAGAATCCTCTGGTTTGACTGTCTTTCATGCAGTAAGCATCTCCTGCTCCCACAAATACTGCAATCCGCTGGTAGGTCTGTGCTGTGAACAGCACAAGAGCACTGGCAGTACTACTCTGAATAGTTCATGTTTAAGTTGATGAAAAGAAGTTGCAGAAGCCAATGAGGCACTTTCTGTGAACGCTAGATTTACTTCAGAAATTATTTATGGCATCTTGTTGAAATGTGTTTCACTTGTCTCAGTAACTTCGTCTTCTGCCCCAACCACATAACATAACACTTCTTGTTTTCAGCTTCACTGTAAAGGTATTATGTATGGAAAATGAAACATAGTCTGAAAAGTCAGCATGTTAAGCATAGATTTTTGAGATATTACAATCTAGCCAATTTGCAGACTGTACAGAAACTTAAAACTGTGCTAAAAACCAACAACAAAAAGACAACCATTTAGTTCTGTGATAACAGGATAGCATTATCTAGCAAAGAAATCCAGTGACCAAAAACCACAGTAAGACAAAAATGGCTATTTGAAAATCTGAATTCACTTTTGGGGAGGTTTCTACTTCTTGCTTTTTGAAACAGAACAGGGCCTTCACATTATCATTGGAAGCAGCTTCCAGGGATATCATAAACTGATCTGTGGATTCCATTTTCCTCTTGCCCTTTTGTATGGTGGCCTTCTGGAGCTAGCAGTGTTGTGTTCTAAATACTGATTTAGTCTTTAGCAAACTGGAGCTAAGTTCAGTAACCATGTTCTTATAACTAGGACATGGCAGAGTAGTTCCTGCCACTAAATTAATAAAGGGTTTTAAAGTAATGTATTATATGTTATATAAAAATAAACAGTTTATTAAGTGCAGCATACATTTCTTTTTAAAATCACACACACAGAAAAAAAAAAAGCACATCATAATCCTAACTTTTCAATTTCTGTACAATGTTGTCCTAACAATGCAAAACCATTTTAAAGCAACTGCCAGAATGGAAGCTGGAATCTGAGATAGTTCCATTAGGGAATGCTTCATGGTTTTGGCACTTTGTTGGATTTACTGTATGTTTCTGTTAAAATGGTAAACTATGAAACAACTAATAATGTTCATTTTAACAGGGATAAAGGCTTTTAAGGGATTAGGGGCTTCTGGGTTTCAGTTACTAAGTTGAACAATTTTGGCACCTGAAAGCCAATATTCCTTTGCTACCAACGAGAAAACTGACTGTTACAGTTAGCCTGTTTCAAAGATTATTACTGCAGTCACAAAGCCTAGAGAGCTTTTCATAAACATATCTGAAAGGTGGGTTTCAGTAGCATGGTTTTATATAAAAGATTAAATTTTTGAAAGGGGGGAGAGCATATACAATGCCTTCCTTTTACCTTCCTTAAGAATTCAGTGTTGTCACAATGAATCTTCCCTTTCTGCTTTCCTTCAAATATGCTGTCACTACCTTGTCTGAGCGGTTTCTTTTTCCCACATACCAATGTCAGAGAAGATTTAAAGACTGGCCAGAAACTCCCATTCTGTTTGCACAATGAGAGCTGACCCTGTTCTTGGTCTTTTTGCCATGTCATATGATCAACAGTTCTATGAAGTTTCCTTAACCAGCAAGAATAGCCCCTTCAACTTCCATAGATTCAGCAAAAGGACAGGGAAGTGGGGTAAGTGGGCTGGGGTCGACTACCAAAAAAACACTGCCACCATGTTGAAGATTTTCTATGTTGCTAACATTGCACTTTAAAGATGGCTGAAGTTTCTAAACAGTCTAGTCCCTTCCTCAAGTCTACCCACTCTTAATTTACTGGTCATCTGGAAACTTAAACTGTTCCTTTTATATGCAAAATGGACACTCTTTGGGAAGATTCTACTAAACCCAGTACCTGTATTCTCCATGTTACATATAATACTTTCAATGCTGCAGGGAAACTGTACTGAAAACAGTGTATATAAATGTAGGCTACCTTTGTTTACTTACTGTCAGGATCAATTTGCTCATTCTATTTTCTTTCAGTACTACTTCAGAATACCACTTTTGTGATCTGCTGAGGACAGTATCTATAATGTGCCTCTCCATGTACAGTATTTCTAGATGATAATTACAAAGATTATAGGTATAGACAAAAGTTAGAAATACATTTACATAAAGTAATACATATTACCAAAATTAAATTAGGGCTGAGCCAATTAATCTAAAAATCTGAAAATGTAACAAATTCAAAAACTTATTGAAGACCTTTTAAGTTCCTGAGATTTTTCTTTGTCTCAAACTCTTTCCCCTTCACAAAGAACACAGAAAGGGAAATTAGCTGCACAACACAGCAAATTCACTAATATTGTCTGAAAATGTACATGTAATTCCACTTTTCTTAAAAGATATTCTTTCTGTATCTCTACCGACTGAGCAGTTTCTGGTGATGCATAGCAAGACTATACCTGTGTTTATAAAAGCTTTTTAGTTTGCATAAAATGTATAACCACAATGTTCTACCTTTTACTGATCAAGCCAATCTTCCAATAAAAGGTTTTCTAGCTAATCAGCTTCCAGAGCCCTGAGGAGCTGACCAGTTTCCAGTTAATAAAGATGGCCCAGCCCTAAACTAGTTCTATTTCTAAAATAAATAGTGTTGAAAATCTTTTGTTTCTAGAAGGTTTGTTGGTTTCCTGTCATGCTTACACACATGTTTCTGGGTTAGTTACAACTTCACCGTTTTTTTCAGGCTCATCTTTCAGAAACTGTTCCACTTCAATAGAGTCCACCTTGCTGGCATCTTCAGGAGTTTTGTCTTCAGATTTGTTTAACTCCTCTCTTTCTGCTGCTTCTTCTTTTGTGTGTGGTTCTTCTGATTTTTTCTTAATGCAGAAGAAATTTCCCAAGGCCAATACAAGTGCTGAGGTGGTAACTTCAATTCCAGCAATAATAAAAACAAACATGTACCTCCCTGTTGCATCCAGGAGTTTTCCTGAAAAAAAATAAAAACAACATTCCAGGTAATTAACAAAAGTGATCATCCTGCAACAAATATTTTTTCTACTTTTTTAAACGTTTAAATGACTGTCTAGAAGTACCATGATGTCTTTGATTAAGCAGTAGCAGTCATCTAAACTTGCTATCTAAGCAAGTTTTTTGAAGTAGCATTTTAACAAGTTTATAACAAAATGTTTCTCAATTATCAGTTTAACATTCACTGATACTGTCACATCCCAAAATACAATCCCCTGCACACACAGTCATGCAATTCAACTGGAATAAAACAAGCCTGGCCTTCATACGCAAGAAATGAGAAGTGCCATGTATTCCAGATCAAAGCATGTGCTTCCATGGCTGCAGTCCGTATCAGCAGCTTTCTCTTGCTTCCAATTTCATTTCCCTTCGTACACAGGCAGTGTACTGTCTGCTTAAAATATAAATCTCATTTAATAGTCAGTCTGGAGTAAATTACTGGTTCTCATGCTTTAGGCATGTTTAACTTTCATAGGACTTACGAAAGTGGATATGAAAGAACAGGAGGGAAGATACAAAGGATGTGCATCTCCAAACCTGAAGATCAGAGAACGTAATGTGTAGTACTGTTCTCCTCCATTAGGGGTTTTGTCACAATAAAGATACCCAATACTTTTTAGTGTCTGGCATAAACAGTAAACATTTTGACAGTAAACTGGTGGGGTTTGGGTGGGTTTGGTTTTTCATTTGGGTTTTTTTTCAGTTCAGGGTCTGTAAAAATTATGTTCTTTGATTAGTAATTAATCTGCAATTTTGAGCTTAAATTAATGAATTTGAGTCTCTTGAAATGTCCCCTTATTCTTGGGGTGTGGGACATGAAACAGAAGTAGTCTACCTTCCTTAAAACAGTCCCATTTTATAGTTTTCTATGTAAGGGTTGTTGTTTTTTTTGTTGGGTTTATTTAGGTTGGATTTTGGGGGGGGGGGGGAGGGGGGATTCCTCTCCTTACATTTTCTTTCCTCCTCCAAATCAACCATGGATATAGAAAATTTATATTAGTGCTTTCCAAAGACAATTGACAGGTTTCTTATTCTGAATCCCCAACTCCAAAGAGATCTGAACTTCACAAAAGTTAATCAGTGTGTGTGTAAAACTCATACAATATTAGCTATCTACTAGTAAGAGGTCCAGTGTAGGCTTTCAGTGGAGAATGAGCAGCATCTCCAGATGGCAATTCAACCAATCCTGAAGCAGAAGGAAAAGATTTCATCCCACCTTGTCTTGGATTGAAATAGATTGTAACTGCGGAAAGTCATTGAAGCATATGCAGCACTAGCACAATATGCACTTGTTGAGCGACTCATATCGTCTTTTTCTCTGCTCCCTTATAATACAATTTATGTAAATGGATACAATGCAAATTATTTTGAATTCTGAACTAAATGGAATACTTACCTGCTGATGGTGGACCAATTAGAACAGCCATAGCTTCTGCCAGGAGCACTAAGCCAATAGCACTGGAAAACTTCTGGGTACCCACAATAGCCATGAGAACTTCAAACTGAAGAGCACCTACCATTCCATAAGAAATGCCAAAGAAAATACAAAACACCACCAGGCCACCATAATCAACAGACATAGAACCCATGAGATCTGTAAAGCCATTGAAAATCATAGCAAAACTGAAGAGGTAGACACAGCGTGGTCTAACCCATTTAAGACCAGCTACCATTCCACAAATAGGCCGAGCAAAGATATCAATGAATCCCAGAATAGTTAGAAGAAAAGCTGCTTTGGTGTCTTGATATCCTAAATCCTTGGCATAACTCACAACGAAAACTGGGGGAACAAAGAGGCCAAGCACCATGATAGAGGCTGCTAGCGTGTAGATTACAAAACCACCATCTTTAAAAACACTGAAATCCAGAAGTTTTTTCTTTGCTTTCTTCTCAGCTGGGTCTTTGGTAGCTTCAGGCTTTTTTGGTGGCTCCAAAGGTCTCATTAATGCGCCACATACGCAGCAGTTGAGCAGCATCCCACCCAGTATAAGGAATCCTCCTCTCCAACCATATTCGTGTTGTAGTATCTGCCCCAATGGTGAGAGAGCACAAAGAAACACTGGACTCCCCGCAGCAGATAGCCCATTGGCTAAGGGACGGCGTTTGTCAAAGTAACGGTTTAACATGATGAGTGAAGGCTGAAAGTTCAGTGCCAGACCCAAACCTGTAACAGAGGGTACGTAAAAAATAATACTGGCCTACAATATCAGTACTTAACAAATTGTAATTGCAGTTTTTCTGATTCCTGACTTAAAGGTTTTACTTCAAATGGACAAAAGGATTCTAAGAGAATATTTTAAGAAGCATTCTACTTCCTGATATTCTTGTACTTGATGAACACTTCTATATCTTCTACACTTCACTGATTACAGTACTGGATATTAAACATACCAGAAAAATTAATATTCATTTTTAAAAAATGACATTTATTCCACATTTATCTGCCATCTTCAGAAAAGCTGATTTGGATGATACTGATGATTTAGATAGCTGTCACACAAAATCTCAGACTGAAGCCAGGACATCAGTTAACCTATTTTCAACCATGCACACTACTTACCAGTAATCACACCTGCGGTTAGATAGATTTGAACAATACTTGTGCAGAAGGAGGCAATCACCATCCCCATTGAGGCAAAAAGGCCACCCACCAGCATGACAGGGCGACAGCCAAAGCGGTTGACACATACACTACAGAGTGGACCTAGGCAAGAAAAGCAAGTTACAGTTGCAACGATAAATCAATTTTTGCAATTGATTTTATCTCAGTTTGCATTTCTTCCTTGGTGGACTTAACAGTGTTAGGTTTACGGTTGGAATCGATGACCTTAAAGGTCTTTTCGAACCTTAATGATTCTGTGGTTCTTCGGATACTTTGTCCTTACTGTCGGCCAGTCTGGAAGAGTGTTCTTTCCTCTGTAGTCAAATATTTAGTCTTCTTTTGTCTTCAGAGTGCCATGCAGTTTTTCCTTTTAATCATCTCTAGTAGCTACTAAGTTACAAAGATCTAATTTTTTGTGCAAGCTGGATGTGCTTCAATAACTTTTGAATTTATGTGATAAATAGTAATTATTTGGAATACAAATAATGATATGCAGTCATTCATGCTGTAAATGGCTGTATGATTTACAAACATAACTGTATGATGCAGTACGGTTTCAAAAAGAGAGAACTACCTACCTGTTCCATAAAGCATGGCCAACAGAATAGAGGAAATCCATGCAGTGTCACTATATCCAATGCCAAATTCCCGGATAAGTTCTTTGAAGAAGACACTAACTGCCTTAGGAAAGGCATAGGAGAACCCTGTGATGATAAAACAGCCAAAAAGGACAGCCCAGCCCCAGCCTCCATCAGGGGCTTTAACACCAGATGGACCATCGTCAGCTACCACAGCTCCCATGACGAAGCTCAAGGGTGTTCCCTGAAAAAAAACAATTACAGTATATAGACCTGGTATATATACACCAAATCAGTACTTCATAGGAAAAAAGCCATTATAGCAGTTCAGGGTTGTATTTTACTTTCACAAACATGGAATAACTCCTGCATTAAAGCCTGCAGGATTTTCTGCTATAAAATCCTTCTGTATGAAGCTCTTGGAATATTCACCTGGGAGACTGGGAAGCAAAATCCTGGTGCATAACAAGTATTCTGTGCAACAGTGGACAAATCACCCAGGTATTTTGTTCCCTACTGAAGACAGAAATACAGTCCTGATGCACTGATATCTTGAAAAAATAGATCTCTTTGAACTTCTGATAAGCTATTAGTTTTCACACATCATGTAAGCATTTAAGCTGAACTGCAGTGAAAATCTGCACAGGCAGTTTTCTGTGGATGATGGGAGCTAGTAACTGCAGCCGTGCTCAGTATCACTGCCTGAAGCAAGTACTTTCCATTGTGGTTGTTACTACATTATGAGTAACTTTTTTTTTTTACATTTTATTTGATGAATCTTTCACATCTTTCATGTGCAGCCACAAGTGCCTTTGCATCTAAAAGAAACCCCATCTTTTCTCATGAGAATGTTATGTAGGCAGTGATGCTTCAAAGTTTTAAAACAGGTGGGGGAAGACACTGAAAAGGCAGATAAAGTGTACCTGCATGTGAGGAGTGGAGGGAGGTATTGTATCAGAGCAATTAGGTTTTTATAGGGTCTGCGTATTACAGAAGTCTAAAATGTTAAAGGGAGCTTTAGACAAGTTGTACGTTAAATCTTACATGTACAAAAGTGACTATTTCTTTAAAATGCAATTCATTACTTTTATTGGGTCAATGTTTCTTACAGTAGTGCCTAAAAGAGGAGTGCAAGTACAGTTGCACATCAGAGAGGTTTGTCACTAAAGAATGCTTCAACTTTTGAGAAGTCTGCATAGTGATTGTTGTGCACTGGGAATTATGTAGTTCATAAAGCTCCTTTTCAGAACCAGACTACATACAGCACAGCAACCTAGTTAATGCAGCCTTGTCTAGACAACTGAGCACCGAATGCGTGGTTGTCAATAGGCCTATATGGGAGTACTTACTAAGGAATTTACACCAGCATTCCCACTTCTTGGAAGAAACAACTTCATATGCATGATGTATAAAGAAACCTGGCCATGACAGTAGCTGTTCTATAGCCCTGGGCTGTAGGAGAAGGACAGTAAGCATCCTATTACTGGCTTCACCTCTTGTTTTCTGGAAATCAGGTATAAACAGAAAAATAATTGGCACTAGAACCTAAAATGGTTAAACAAGGAGCAAACCAGAACACCCCAATACAACTAGACGTCTGGGTGCCTGCTACTACAGATGGCTGATTTGCTTACTGCTGTGAGAGTTTGTAAAAACTCAAAGCTTGTTAGGTAATTTCTGCACCAGGCTTTGGGTTGCTAAATGAAAGTCTTAAGGTGCATCTCTGCCAATCATCCTAACACTGGGATCTGTCCACCCTTCAGAACTGTTATTCACAGTAACTTCTGTATGATACAAGATATAAAGCATGCTTCAAAAAAATTGTGGTTTTTTTTTAAAGGAATATCCAGACAGCACAGAGTACAGGCACAAAGTGTAATCCTTCATGATACTGGTAGCTCTGTAATAGTAATGATAACAGGGAAAATGGGGATTCAAACATCTCAGCACAAGTGTAGAAGATCAGGAATAAGATGTAAAACTGAAGGAGTCTGGGAGGCAGGAGCAATCATCCCACTACTTCCAAATTTTAAGACAGAACATCGGAGTGAATGTTTAAAATGCTGGAGGAAGAGTTGTGTAATTTTTAGTCTTTTGTATGAACCATCTTGGTAGCAACACAAGGTAATGGTACGTGAGCGTTCTGTTAAAAAACAGCAGTTTCTGCAGGCTGCTCACACAGTGCCGGATAGCAATATCCAGCCCTAGAAGAAATGGCTGACGGCATCCACCTCTGTGCTTCTTCCTGTACACAGGCAGGGGCGGTCTGCTTTACCGACTCTACAGCTGAGAGTTCTCTGCGGTCCCGCAGTGCTGAGCGCTGACAGTGAAGTGCGTCCAGGCTGCCCAAAGAGGCAGGCGGCTTTTGAGAGGAGCCGTCCTCGGCACCTGCTCGGCCGCACTCCTGCTCCTTACACCGCTCCGGGTGGCAGGAAGGGAACACAGCGCGGCCCGGGCCCAGCACCGGGACTCCTCGCGACCCCGCGCTGGGACGTGCGGCGGCGCGAGCCACCCCGCCGGACGCGCGCGCTGGCGGCCGCCGCACTGAGACGTGCAGGACGTGACTGGGCGGTCGAGCGGGCGGGGCCGGGCGCAGCCGGCCGGTGGGACCTACCAGGCTCGCGCGCCCCAAGGGCGGTGAAAGGTCCCTTTGCGGATGTTGACGGCATGTCAGCGCGTTCAGCTAAACGTTTGCACAGACCCGCGTACCCCACTTTCACATGGCTAAGCGTGCCCGCACACCCCCCCCGTCTTGTTCATCTGGTTTAGTCCATCCGTGGTTCACGTTAACACACCAAATTAAAACACCGTTAACCAGAACTGAAGGAACCCTGCCTCTCTGAACGTCTTCAGATGCACTTCACCCCGTTCCCTTCATCCTGTCATAGTGTGCTTTACCAGGCTCCACTGTATCCGCTTCCGTTAGAGCTAAAGGAAATAGTGGGGAGGTTCCCATGTGAAACCTGCAAACCAGGGTTAGCGCTAGGAGGGGTGGGCTCGCGGTTGACTTGCACTGACAACATTTTCACTTGTAATTTCACTTCAGCGCTGGGATACTGCCGGAGTGTATGATACTGTGACAGGAGGCTGCTACAGAACTGTTGCAACTGTTTCGTTTCCTGCTTTTGCTCGCTCAGCCCTGTTTAGAGGCAAAGGATTACATGTAACTGGCTGCAGCTCAGGTTCAGTGTCTCCACAACAGACATGATAGAACTGTCAGTATTTATTGCAGATCCCTCCTATTATAAGTGCGTTCTTTCTTCAGTAATGTGTAAAAGAAAGGGATTAAACGTAGTTAGCTCTGTGGGGCTTCATGCTCCTGAGAGTATCTTCCTGTTGCCATGGAAACTTAATACAGGATCAGTTAGGAGGAAATATTAGGTGATTGTAGGTAGCGCTGCGGGTGCTGTGTTTGATGTGATGGTACAGCATATATAAAAGGAGAGCATTAGTGTTATGAAAAAGGCCAGCTAGAAATGGCAAGAATCTATTATCGGTGTTTAGCCAATACCCCTATTGCCTATGTAGCAGTACTTTATGGCCAGCAGCATGGGTAAGGAAGGCCATTTGTGAGTATGTAGGCTGACCTGTGTAGCTTAAGAACTTCCCCTGAATTAATTTAAATATGTCAGCAATCTACCCAACTTTGGATTCCTGGAATAGAAATAAACAACTGTTATCAAAAATAAAACATGAAATTCCACGCAGGACACCTAGTTTAGACTGGAATTCAGTCTGGAACCGCACTAGGTTGAGAAATGTACAATTACCAAATGAGGAAGGTGGCCTAAGCTGAGCAATACAGAGATCCTGCTTCAGTTTTTTATCTGTGGAATGAAGAGAATAGCGATTCTCTCTTCACAGCATGTTGGAAGTGCGGGTACGCTGAAAAGTGTAGACTGTTCAATATTGTGTTAATAGAGTCATAAGCCTATATTTGCCCAAGGGTATTAAAATCTAAGCAGACTAAATAAAAGATGTAAGATGTATACTTGTATAGGTGTCATACTTGGTTCTGAGTGAATAAACATAACACTAACCAGCTCTACTGAAATTTTGCAGGAAGTATCCCCTGCAAAAATTTTAATGGGCCATTTCTTGTGGTTTAGCTGATTAAATATCAGCCAAATTAAATATATGCTCATTTCCAATGGCTGCTGCAAGCTCCTGTTCCCTACAAAATCATTACTGTATTTACTGATGCCTGCCCTGACCTCCTGTCCTCACAGAATCATTAGGGTTTAAAACTACTTTGGAGATCACCTGCCTACAGGTGAGTTTGGAATGTCTCCAGAGAGGGAGACTCCACAACCCCCCCGGGCTGCCTGTTCCAGTGCTCCAGTGCTAACACACACAACGTCAAGTTCTCCCTCGTGTTTAGGTGGAACTTCTTGTGTTTTAACTTATTAAAGAAAAGTAGCATTGCTCCTCATCCTGTTGCTGGGCACCATCCTCCTGGCACCCATCTTTGAGATACTTATATGTAAAAGCTCTGCAGTAACTTTCCCATTTTGGCCTTCTTTGTTTTCCTGTTCCACTGCCTTTTTTAAGGGTTTGCCAGCTTTCATCATTCCCCCATCTCTCCCTCAAAACCCCTAGGATATACTATATAATAATTCTGTGCTGTCTGTAGCTGAAGGTGATGTTCCATGCCAACACTTTACTATTAATCCCCAGTCCCCACTTAGCCTCAAACCATTTTAGCGTGCACTGCTACAGCGCAGTAAGTAGCGTACATCACAAGCTACTATCAGACTGCAATGACACAGTAAATTCACATTGCAGTTTATGTGTAGCAAATAATACTAACCACTATAGATTCTGTTATCTGGGTAAAGTGCTCTACAGGGGAAGTTGAGCTTGTTAATTTATTTGTTTTTGTAATAAAAATGTTAGAACCCTGTTCTTTACATTATCTGGCAAAATCAGATTATATATATTTTTTTTTTCATAATGAGCAGTACCCCTAACTTACACTGGGCCATAAGCAAAAGAATAAGCCACAGATCTGCACACTAGCCTCATGTTTTAAAATGAAGTATTAATTTGGCTTTCCTGACAAAAAGAAACATCTTTTGAGATAAATGCCTACATAAGTATTTTATTTAGGTACAAATACAATACTAACTAATTATCAGTTCAATCTTCTCAGGTCCCATCAAAAACCAAATATACTAGTTGTATAACAACAGCATTGGCAAATTCCCTAGTTACTGTCTCTATATCAAAGGCCCAGTTTTTGAAGCAGTGGACTTATTTTTCTAAAGCCTTTGAGTTTTTTTTACACTACATCCATTGCCGTAAGTGCATTAATGTCAGCATCAGAGTGGCACCTGAAGACCAGACAGTATCTGTCTTTCCTGTATGCACAGCAGAAGTAAAAAACATGCCTTCAAGTTGCACTTAAATTATCTGGCTGCATTCCATATACTTTCAAAAACAGAAGCTGTAGAATCCCAGCTTCAGTTGAATACTTACAATTTATTTTTCTTATATCATGAAAATTAACTTCAGCCTTGCAGCTATGGTGGCCTTGCAATGTGTCAGAGCTTTAGAAAAATAGAAAATCTTGTTAATTTTTTATAGCAGAAGTGTCCTTATTTTATCTAGTATAAAGCCAAAAAGTGACAGCCATATAGTAATTAAGGGTACAGTGGACGTATGTGCTTATTTTTGCAGAATACCATGGAATTGCCCTAACACAAAGTGCTGGTGTGCACATGCACTGTGTTTCAAGCTAGGTTTGTATATGTAGCTGAATATAGCATGAAAAGATTATCTGGCAAAGAGGTGTCATTTTACACAATGACTTTAGATAGTGCAGCTGCATAACATGGTGCCATACAGTAATATATGTGAATTCCCACTTCAGTGACAATTTAGAAGGTCACCCTAATATTTTTATAATTTACCTTGAGTTAGTCTTCCGACTGAGTCACAACAGGTATACTGTACTAATGGAGTCTGTCTCACATTTTTAGACTGCCAACTGCCACGTCTTAACAAATTACCGCTCCCTCTGAAATAAAAATTGCAAAACTGTATATGACTTCACTTTGTGACATCTTTAAACGGATTTTCAACTGCTTTACCCAGAAAGCACGCAAACTCGCTGATGAAGCGTGTGTGCATTTCCACAACCGATGCTAACGCTCTAAGCCGGTGAGGAAGTTGTATTGCCACAGCTCAACCTCACGTCTGTGAGCTTTTTCTTTCTCCACAGAACTGCTTAGAATAAGGATGTGAGAACGAGCAGTAGCACACAAGGGCTCTCTCCCGGCGGATGGAGTGGGGCTGCGGCGGCTGCCGCGCGGGAGAGGAGCGGGGTTGGGAGAACAATGGTGGCGGTCGCGGCGCCGCGAGCGGCCACGGCGGCCCGCGCGGCGCTCCGGGTCGGGCACGTAGCGCTCGGGTCGCCGCCGCCGATGCTCAGGGAGCCTGCAGGCGGCCGCGCGATTCCGCGTACGAGCGCCTCACCGTTCTCAGGGCGCTCGCAGAACCGAGTAACGGAGTTCACGCCCTGGACTCCGCGATGCCCTTATGAGGGGGCGATCCCTCAGACTGCGCGCCACTCCCTTTAGCGGGTCTGAATTGTCCCCGCTGTGACAAAGGGAAGTCCAGAATTTACTCCCCCGTGGCTGAAAGGAAAGCGGAGCAGCAGCGAAGGGATCGTGGGGACGGCGCTGAGCGCAGAGACCCCCATCACCCGACACCGATCTGAAGCTACCGATGGCGGGAACAAAGCCCGAGCTCGCGGGTGCCTCACGAGCCATCGGTGTAGCACTGTACGTGCGCTGAGGCCGCGGCACCGCGCGCCTGGGCGTGACCCGGCCGCCTGAGGAGGAAGCGGGGGGCAGCGCTCTCCCGCAGCAGCCGGAGCGGGGCTCGGTCGCTCAGAGCCTGGCAGCGCTGCCCGGCCGATGGCGGCGAGGACGCCAGGCGCCCCGCATCGCAGCGCGGGTTCCCCGAAAAAGAAAAACACCCCGGACCCCTCTGCGCGAGCAGGACCCAGAAGGAGGGCGTCCCCCGGCCCCCGTGAGGTGGCGCGAACGGGGTAACGACAATCCGCGCCGTCTCCACCGACTCTCCGGCGCCCTGCGCAGCCTCTGGCCGAGAGACGAAGCCGCGTGGCGCTTTCCCAAAGCTTCAGCCGCGCTCGAGCGCATCCGCCGGCCTGGGCGGCCCCCCGCAGAGATGCGTACTCACCCTGCCCGGAGCTCCGGAGTCGGGTCACCCAGCTCCGGACCTCCCCACGCTCCCCCTGGCGCTCACTCCCGTGCGTCAGCCAAGCACCCCACAACATCACTCACAACGGCTCCCCCTCAATACCTGAGTCACGTCCCACGCCTCAGCATGAAGATGCCGGTGCTCGTGCCGGAGCTCTGCCCGCCTTCCCCGTGGCCCCGCTCAGCCCAGCCCCGCCCCGCCCCGCCGCGCCCCGCCCCGCCCCGCCGCGCCCCGCCCCGCCCCTCCCCGCCCCGTCCCGCCAGCTGCAGAGCAGCCTCGGGCTGAGCGGGTGTGTCTCGGCCTGATCATGTGACTCACTTCCACTGTTACAGGTTCGCCCGCGCTGAGGCGCGGCAGCCGCGTGCGGTCGGGCCTGCCCGAAGGGGAGTCCCGCGGGCGCCTTGGGTCGCGGCCCGGGCAGAGCGCCTGCAGGTATGAGGCGGCGGCTGCGGCGCGGGCTGTGCTGTCCCGACATCTCTGTTCCAGGGAGTGACCGCGGTTTCTTTGTTGTCTCCTAAGGTAAGAACGGCTTTTCCGAGCTTCCCTGTGAGGTTTTTTGGTGGGTTGGGTTTGGGGGGTGGGGTGTTTGTTCGTTTTGGAAGTTTTTCGTTCTTCTTGGTTGTTTTGATCGTGATATTGTACATTCTGCAGATAACATACAGGCCCCCCTCCTCATCTTTTACCAAGGAAGCACCACCTGCAAATATGCCTGTTTGAGTTACCTCATTTTGCATCCAGATGGGATAAGCTTTCTGCAATGGCTCTGCTGCTAGTCATGCAAGTGTTGAATTATAAAACTGAATGTGCGTTGATATTGCTGTTATTTAGCATCCATACAGGCTGTGATTTGCTTCTAAAGTGTAGTGTAGAAAGCAGCGCTTAAGAAATTCGGGAGTAGGTGCTCCACTCCTTTGTGTGCTTACAGAACACAAGTCAGTGTATAGGGTCATCCACTTTTGCTCGGTGCTGTTAAAACCACACATTGAACGCTGTGTTTAGTTTTGTGTCCCTCGCTATAAGAAAGACGTTGTGGTGCTTGAGCATGTCCAAAGAGCCTGGAGCACAAGTCTTGTGAGGAGCAGCTGAGAGAACTGGGGTTGTTCAGCCTGGAGAAGATTCAGGGAGCACCTCTCCCCCTCGCAACTACTAAAAGAGGGTATAGTGAGGTGGGGTCGGTCTCTTCTCCCAAGTAACAAGCAACAGGACAAGAGGAAACGGCCTCAAGTACTGGGGGGGGGTGGGGTGTCGATTGGATATTAAGAAAAATTTCTTCCCTGAAAGTGTTATCAAGCACTGGAACAGGCTGCCCAGGGAAGTGGTTGAGTCACCATCCCTGGAGGTATTTAAAAGATTTGTAGGTGTGGCACTTGGGGATGGTTTAGTGGTGGATTTGGCTGTGTTAGATTTATGGTTGGACAAGGTCTTTTCCAACCTAAATGATTCTGTGATTCCTATCACTTGTGTGGGGACACACAGGGGTGTGTTTGCCTTAGCTTCTGATTCAGTTTTGCTGTAGTACCCATTTGTACCTGCTTAGGGATTCATTGCAGTAATACGCAAAGATGAGCAAGGCTGGGTCCTTTGTTTTGGGTAGATAGCATACAGCCAGTGAGACATACATTGCTAATCTTAAAGAGTAAAATGAGTTTTTGACTGTTTAGCATTACCTGGATTTAGGCCATTCACTTACTGGCTAAATGAAGATAAGTGCAGAAGAGCAAAAACCACTGATTCTTGTGGAGCTTCTGAAGCAAGCATTGCAGTGGCCCAGCAAAATTGCTGGAGTCTAGCATCTGAAGACATTCTTATGTGTCTTTACAGGTAATCTTGTTTCTCCAGGAAAAGGAAGTATGATCTACATTGCCAGTCCCAAAGGACTGGAAAAACTCCTACAGTTTTTGAGGGAGACAGTTGTATTTGTCATGACCCCACCCTCTTGACTCTAATTTCTCAAGACCAGTTCCATCCTGCGGAATCTTCTGCTTTGTTATTGCACTTTACTTGAATCACTGTAGAACCAGTGGAATTTTTAATGCAAACCTTAGAGGTATGTACTTTGTGAAGATGTTATCAGGAGGGACAGAGGTGCCTAGGAATGGAGAGGTGTAACAGTGGAAGTTGGTAAAATACTCAAAGCATCAGTATCTCTTATAGCTACTCAAATTATATAAGAGGCTAGATAAGGAAAGAGGTTGTTAGCTACACATGTTAAAAAGGCAAAAAAGAGGATTGTTGTGTCCTTCGCATATCAACATTACCCCTACTAAAGCCTCCAACTCTGCAGCCATGTGCTTTCTAGAGTTCAGTTGTAGAACATTCACACAGTTCAAGAGGTCAGTGGTTTTTTTTTTACCTAGAGGCAGAGGAGAGTCACTTCAGTTCATTTGTTTTTCAGAAGTGGATGTCCATACACATAGACCAGCTGCTGAAAAATCTGACTGGTAGTCTGTGGTCTCACTTTTGTAGCGGAAAGCTTCTGTTGTTTTTGAAGAATGCATTTTTCTGAAAGAGATGTGTTCATAAGAGGATGGCGTGCCAGGGTAAATGATAATCCCAAAATCAGCATCCAGATCACTGGATTTGATTCACTATTCAATAAGGCAGTAGTGTAAGTGAGCAGAACACAGGGTTGCTGTTCTTGCAGAAGCCTGCACAGAGTTGGGGTAAGCTCAAACATTTGGAACTGAGATGAAGGCCCAAACCCCCTATCTGTTAGGTAGGGTTATATTGTACATGTTTAAGCATTAAATATGATGCAGTACACTTATGAGTAGAGGGAATATTAAAAGTGCAGCAGAGAGACTGTAACTTGAGGCATCTAACTACAAAAGGAGCTTTGAAAGATTCTTCCTTACAGTTCTAACTAAATAAAAAGCAAACCACTGCATCTTAGTATTGTTCATCTGTAAGTATGCCACTTATTACATGTACTCTCAAAATGTTGTTGAGCTCATGAGGAATCATTAAATAGGCAAATTCTATGTCTAGAGTAGACTCTGAAAGTCTCAGTTTAGTTTCTTGCTAAAGGGGATTCTTAACAGGAAAGTATAATGTCCTTGGGCTAGATTCCACCAAACCTCCACTAAAGTCCTTCACTCTGTAATTTCTTACTAGTTTCCAAATAAGTAAGGATCCTGGTATGTTCTCTTTTTTTGCATATTTAATTTGGCTTTGTTATTTTTTTCTTTTGCACCTTTACAGCAAGGAAAGCTAATGATATGGTGGGTGCTGAGCAGAAGGGTGCATTGCTGGCTCATGGTCAATTCAATATCCATTAGGACCCACAGCTTTCCAACTGGCTGGCCCCAGGCTGTACACATGTATGGGATTATTGCTACCCAGGTGCAGGACTTTCCATTTTCCTGTTAAGCTTCATGAGATTCCTAGATTGTTTTCTTAAAAAACAGAGTGAGGTAGTGAATCCAATAACTGTTTGCCATTCACATCAGTAAAGATGGTCAGAAAATGCTGGAAATGTTTGCCTGATCAGGTTTCCAGGATGGCAGAAGTGACTGGAACATTGTTGTTACGGAGCATAAATAGGAAGAGGGTAGCTAACCTGAGGACAAAGCTTAGTTGCTTTGGAACATAGGGCTTCTGATGGTAAATGTCTTCCCTAGCACTTCCTGAACTTTAGAATTGCTTCTGAATATCATAGCAGTTTTGGGTGGTTGCTCTTCCTGTTCCAAAATCTAGCTGTACTCTATGCTGTTCCTGCAGTTTGTAGGTTAATCCCAATAATCGAAAGTGCCTCTAAACATTTATTCTTATTAAGCTTTTATAGATTTAATTTATTTTTTTTTTAGGCTGTGTTTCCTTGTTTGCATTCAATGGAGTCTGTTGTATTAATTACTGATTTTCACTGCAGCATTTTTAAGAATGTTCACAGAAACATCGAATATTTCAAATGGTTTCATACATGGCTAACTGTGCAGTGCATACACCTCTGCCTTTGATTCAAAATGTAAATGTAGCAGATCATGCTGCCCAAAGAGTCCTTGTAAGGTCTCTATTGTAGAAAGGTCTGTAATACTCAGAGTTGAAGTTTTGGTAATTTTTAGTTTGTTTCTAAAGTATGAAAATTAGGTATTTTTATATAGCTCTCAGGATTCAGTTGAAGAACATGAACTGTACCTACAAAAGTTTATATAGTTTTCAAAAATAACCCACAGTTGTTGTACAGGTAGGCATTGAGAGAGAGAGATGAAAATCGAATTCATCTAGTCTGGATAAAACTTGAACTTAAAGGTGTCATTTGGTTCCTAAATACTCGCTCAAATTTCAGAGGGGACCAAAAATTCCTCTGGAGTCCTTTGCAAGCTAAAAAGTAGGTCACTTTTATTTAGAAGATGATCTTTTAAATGCTAGTTCTGAATTTTTATATTTATTGTTTGTATACTGTATACCAAATACATTCCTTGGGGTTCTGGGGTAATAAGTATTCATTTGAAAGAAGGCTGCTCTTGAAAGACTTTTCTGAATGACATTTTCATTTTTATGTTTCATCAAGGTAGACTACATCCATATTCACTTACTGAGTCCCTGCATGATGTTTCTTAAGCCTGTTCCTCTGATTAGCGAGGTGTGCATCTTTGGAATGTGCTGTGGGTCTCATGTGGCCTGTGTCTTGGGACTACTTTTCCATAGAAGCAAGGATGAGTTTGGCAGGATACATAGTTTGCATAATCCTGGGTCTTGTTAGGGAGTTGGGCCATAATAAGTTGTACATGGCCTTTTGAAGGGAAACTTAAGAGTGCTTTTGAGCTTAGTAGTGTATTTGTAGCTGGGATTTACCCTGCTTTTCCTCTGAAACACAGCCTTTTTAGAGGGCGAATCCATTTTCTTTCTTTTGTGGAGCTATTTGTAAGTATTGGTATTTCACAGTACACTGATGGGTCCAAAGACTTGTGTTCAGAAGTGACTCTGAAGGTGGTTCTGAAGATGCCTGAAATTTACCTTTAGCCTAAATCTTAATGAATTCACTAGTGTTTTATAAAAAACAGAAAATACCTCTCTTCTAAATTCTTGCTACCTTTTTCCCTTTCAGCAAAAATTTTCTTTTAATCTCCATCTATGAAACGAGGACATTTCCTGTATTTATTTTGGGAGTATACAGATTTCTACATTGATACCAAAATCCGTGTTGTATAGACTGTGATCTTTTTGACTCACCATTAAGATAAAAATTTA